AGGGCGTGTCTGAATTTGAATAAAGTAAGTCCGTAAAGTAAGTGTCTGAATAAAGTAAGTCCGCAATTGGATACTGTCTGAGCTGGGGTATTTGCATAAAGTGATTTAATTGGCTGACGTGTCCGTTGGCGCTTGAAAAGTTGAGAAATGTCCAACTTTTGCAGCAAACAACGCCGCTGAAGTGGTGCCGACGGATCCACAATTCAGTTCGTCAGTGCTTGACGTCACCCATTGAAAGTGAAAGGGAAGCGCTGACGTCCTGTTTGAATGGGGCGCTACCATGTTACACTTCTCTTGAACACAAAAAAGTATTGATTAGGTATATGAATGTAATTTTCCAGAATTTTTCCATTTTTTTTGAAGAATGAAACTGAAATCGGTTGAAGTGTGGTGTGGTGGGTGAGTAAATTATGACAGAATTGAGAATTTTTGATGAACTGTCCCTTTTACGACTGAAATATATAAATAATATAAATATTTTACGACGTTTTTTGTTGTTTTTTTTTCAAATAAATTTTTAAGTGTCAACAAAGCATTATGGTTTTGGAGGTTTAGTTCAAATTACAAAACATCAAGGCTTTTAGGTGCTGAAATTTAAAACTGGTCAAATATGCCTAAGTATGGTTATAGTCTCAGCCTAAGACATCATGGCCATATACCATATGCTGAATATTCAACAGAATCAATGTCGTCCTCTGTATGGTTGAATCTTGCATGGATTTCTGGAGATATTCGTTCTGCATGCTTTAACGGTTCACCCATTGGCTTTAATAGCTTCATGGACAAAGCTCTGATATGTAGCCTCATTACGATGTCATTTCCAACATCTATTATATCCAAATAAAAGCGACCAAAAATATATATTTAATAGTTTGCCTGGAAACAACACAAAGCCATCTGATCGAAAAAAAAAATATATATTTAAATCTCTGTCCATGAGGATTTATCAATATCAATTAATTAACTATTGTTTTGGTTCTCAAACATATACAAGGTTCTTAGCATAATCAAAGCAAATCATTATCAAATTAAAAAACCCATTCAAAATAAACTCATTTTTCACAGACGATCCCTCACTAACAAACGCCCATGAGTTTTCCAGAAGGTAGCTTGTTTGCCAACTATACATGGCAAGAGTTTTGTTTTTCAAGCCAGGCCGACTGTTAGGAATGTTTCCCTAAAGATCAAGTCGTTTGCCCTCTTAAATCTTTGATGGAAGATCAAGTGAATTAGTTAAACCAGGAGAGGATACCGGGCCAAAATTAGACTTTGAAATAGTATTTGGATGATTAGGCTTGTGTTCAGTTTTCCAGAACTGCTTGTTGATGTTAAAAAAATGGAGACACTGTAAACTGATTTACCTCAAGCATCTCATTAGCATCGCTGTCAATGAAGTGCACAATATTGTACAGTGATTAGTAACTGCATTCTTGGTTTGTGTTTTTAGTGAAAAATTATATATATTTTCCAATTTCAGAATGTTTAATTTCATGTAGGTTTAAATTGAGTATGAACTTTTATAGAAATGGATGTGACATTTTTAATGTATTTTTTTGTTTAAACCATCAGTCATATGGCCTAATGGGCAGTCTTTGACTTTTCAAAGTGGGCAAGTTTCCCAGACCTCTTGACATCAATTTGAAGCCCTAGCTGTGTATGAGACTTGATTTCAGCAGCAGTAGGTCATGCACACACAAGACACAGTCGTGTGAAATCAAATGCTGAATCAAAACTTTTTAAAAATCCTGAATCAATGTTGGAGTGAGTTTTGCACGCCTGAGGAAGAATGACACTATGGCTGAAATATTTCTTTAAGACAGGTAATTTTCTGTTTTAAAACAATTTTAGCCAAGCAAAGCTGATGTAGATTGTGTTGTTGCTACGAATGGGTTATACGAATGGGTTATAAGCACAGAAGTGTTGTTCAGCCACTGAAATCTTGCGGGGAAAGATTAATGCAACTATTTTCAGTTTTATTAGGGACCTTTTACAACATTGATAATGTTTTTTTTTATATAGATTTTTATTTAGTTTTACAACAAAACATTAGTAAATAGTGATATTACTGATTAAATAGCCTGCTTTCCTGAGCTGAAGTTTTATATAGATTTATATAGATTTTATATTCACATGGTTCATTTTTGAATAATGACAACCTGTGACATGCTCCTTATATTGTTTACCATGCTACTTTGAATATTCACTCTGAAATAGCATGTAAGTATATGGCTTAGTAATAATTGTAATTCCTGCATGCCGCCGGCCAACCACTAAACATACAGTATTGCAAATATGACAAGTTTTGCTTGCTAGACATCTGAAAATGTGCTAGTTAAAATACAGTTTTTCATTAAGAATTTTAGTATTATAAAGTACAACAAAGTTTTTTATCTGGCGAATGACATGATCTAGTGGGTTGTCTGCTGTCATGTTTAAGGTGCACGCGTTCGCGATTTCAGGAGGCATCGCTTTAGACGGCAGGGTGGGATTGTGTTTTAAACATATTATGTTAACCAGTTAGCATTTTGGCAGATCACCTACTGCATCTTTAACTTCATTCACATGGATGCTCAAATATGATAAAATACACTGTATTATGTATGCCGAGCCAGTAGTTGATTGACTTCAAAGAAATCAAAAATGTTTGTAACATTTTTTATTTAGTAGCTTGATTATAATGATGATAATAATAATAATAATAATAATAATAATAATAATTATTATTATTATTATTATTATTATTATTATTATTATTATAATACTTATAATTATTATTATAATAACAATAATAATAATAATAATATTACATTTTATTTATAGGCGCCTTTCTGGCAACTCAAGGACACCATGCATTAAAGTAAGAGCAATAAAACAACAAGAAAAATAATATAAAAAATATACACAACAATAGTAAAGGTACAATTAATTATTAAATGTATTAGTTTGATTAATCTTATTTGTACATTTTAGTACAAGTTGATCATTCCCCAATAAAGGTGGGGTTTTGGGGGCACGTCTTCCTTTAAAAATCGTACACAGTTTGTATGAATTTTTCACTTTTCTGACAATTCGTAAAATAAATCTATTTCCTCGGTAGGTTGGACTGAAATAAACATGTGCTAGTGCACATTTTGATGTAATTTTAGTCAGGTTCAGGTCTCTATTCACCTTATTCTTCGGGTACGAGCAGGTGCAGCCATTTGAACCTTTTTTGCTCGAGACTTCCGGTGTCATTCACTTCTACTCATTTTTAGACCTTTAAAACTTTAAAGCTTGTTATGCTGCTTGATGTGGCAAACCAAGGCAATCTCACGGCAATTCGTAACTTTTTGATTTAGGGGCTAATTCGTATGGATTCGTACAATCTAATTTGTACAATTTAGTACGATTTGCTCATCACCCAATGAAGGTTGGGGTTAGGGGTGGGGTTGGGTGCCACGCCTCCTTTTTAAAATCGTACATTTTTGTACGACTAAACTCATGCAAATTTTTACGAATTAGCCACTAAACTGACAAAACATAAAATACTTATGTTTCCTCATGAGATCAGGCTGGGCAAACTTATTCTTAAATCTTATTATTTGATCCTGCTTTGTTTGTATAATCATGCAAACACTTGTTTGCAGAGCAAGTTTGACTGTTTTCCGCAGTTTATTATTCCTGTTAAATTCTCAAAGAGCTGAATTGGAAGTTCCAAAACAATCACAAAAACGAGAACACTTCTGCATTAAAGAATAAAGGTCAATAATCTCAATATGTGATATGCTTGTGTAACGTCAGTATTTTCATTAAATTGCCTTTTATAGTTTACACAGACTATAAAAAAATATTGAAACCTGATTTTAAAAATTAGCATTTTCAGACTTACAAAACGTTGTTTTAAAACATAAAATAAGATTTTTTCAGTCTTGAAAACACAATTTATTTTGTTGATAATGGTGTGACTGGTGTAAATTCAATTGTCAGAATGAGTAAGTTGTTATTTTTTTTAATCACTCAAATATCTACATGTAAATTATTTAATTCTCAGTCAGAATGTCCTATATGTGATGTGCTGCAGCGAATACTTTTGCATTCCTCCCTAAGTACAATTCAGTCCCGAGCTGGGAAAGTGATCTGTTTTCAAAGACCACAAATCTGTGACCCAAAACCATTGTTAGTGAACTCTGTCCTCAGCTCAGGACCGAACAATACACCTTGTTTGGACAGGTGATCTTATTCCTAATGTGAAGAAGGCTTTGAGTGAGATAACAGGCTTAGACGTCTTTTGCAACAAAAGCAGCGGGCTTTAATCTGACAGCAGAATTCCCAGTCGAAGCCACACATTCTCCATTTCAGACGCAAACGAAAAAATCGCCAAAGACAAGCAGGTTGATTATGGAAGCTCATCAAAGCCTTTCCTGAAGATTTTTTTAATCTGTTTGTTTGTTCATTTAGCCATGCTGTATCGCAAATGAACGTCACCCAAATGCTGCAAATGGGCTTGTAAATGAATGTCAATTATGTGGCCCAATTAGTGTGATGTGTTGACTGTGTAAACAGAGGCTGTTTGTTTGTGCTCTCTGCAGAATTCAACCGAAGCTCTGTTTGTGTTGGCTTTTCTTACAGAACGCTCCTCAGCTGTGAACCTTTGGATTCTCCCTTAATGATTTAAGATCCATCTGCTGCTTTAAGATCTAAACCTTGCACGCAGACAGCAAACAGGTTTTGCCTGCAGTTGTACGTGTCTTTCAAAGCGTTTGCGATGCTTTTCCCCATTTTTCCCGCCACACTCCAATTGCACATGTCTGGTTTGTCACATTAATAAGTGAACACAGAAGCCTGAACTTGTCTATGGAAAACTTCAGCCTGACAGGCCTTTCCATGCACTCCTTCTCAAAACGATCAGGGGGGGATTACTCACTTATTACTCCTTCAGAGTAGCCGATGTGTGGATTAGGAGGCATAAGGTGTCACCCTGGATGTAGACTGAAGAGTGATGCTAAAGAAACTTCTCTTAAATGAAGCGTGGAGACAATGGTCCCCTATTTGATTGGGCTCTTTCCATCAAAGCCAAGCCTGTTTTGCCTGGATTAGTGCTCATGGGTAAGTCATGTGACTCCGTGAGAAGGCGGGACTCACACCTGACTCAGGTGAGAAATGTTAAACCTGTGAAGATCTTCAAGAAGTCCTTCTTCCCGCTGGATCTCCACAGTGTCTGGAGCTTTTCTTCTGGAGTTTGCTGAATTTGGTCATGTTTGGCGCTGGGCATTTGGTGTCTCCTCTGTCTCCTGCAGTCTTCCACTCTCCGGCTGCTCATTTCTTCCCAGCGTTCCCCAGCAGGTTGAGTTCTCCGCAGATCTTCATCCCTGGGCCTCTGCTCAGCTATGAGCTCCTGCGCAGTTACCTGCAGCCTGAACCCTGCAAGCAGAGCCTGCTGCTGGCCGCTCATCCGTCCTCAGGACACCCTGCTGACAACATCGGTGAGCACACTAAAACATGAAGTCCCTTTCTTAGAGCATCTAATATACACATATTTTATGTTTTAAGTTTTTATCTTTTAATAGAGTGAAAAGCAAAAGGATTTTTGTGTAAAATATTTGTAATATACAGTATGTATTATTACACTTATTACAAATATTGTGTAATATTTTTATTAAGTATTGCTTTACTTTTTACAAGCAAGTAATACTTAATTTGTTCTATTCTATTCTATGCTATTCCATTTTGTCCTGTTATGTTATGTTATGTTATGTTATGTTATGTTATGTTATGTTTTGTTATGTTTTGTTATGTTATATTATATTATATTATATTATATTATATTATATTATATTATATTATATTATATTATATTATTATATTATATTATATTATATTAATATTATATTATTCAATCTAAACCACCATTTTACCAATTTGATAATACAACGTATTGTAATCACTTATTTTTATTTTTATTTTATTTATAATTATATATAATTTATTTATCTATATTATATTTTCTCCCAATTTCTGTTTAACGGAGAGCAGAATTTTTTTTTAACACATTTCTAACCATAATAGTTTGAATAACTCATTTCTAATAACTGATTTATTTTATCTTTGCCATGATGACAGAAAATAATATTTTAATAGATATTTTTCAAGACACTTCTATACAGCTTAAAGTGACATTTAAAGGCTTAACTAGGTTAATTAGGTTAACTAGGCAGGTTAGGGTAATTAGGCTAAAACTATTGTATAACAAGGGTTTGTTCTGTAGACTATCGGGAAAAAAGATTACCTTAAAGGACCTAATAATTTTGACCTTGAAATGGTTGATAAAAAAAAATAATAACGGCTTTTATTCTAGCCAAAATAAAACAAATAAGACTTTCTCCAGAAGAAAAAAACATTATCAGATATACTGTGAAAATGTCCTTGCTCTGTTAAACATCATTTGGGAAATATTTAAAAAATAAAATAAAAATTTAAAGGGCAGCTAATAATTCTGACTTCAATACAGTTGCAATCAGAATTATAAGCCCCCCCCCCCCCTCCCCCCCTGTTTATTTTTTCCCCCAATTTCTGTTTAACAGGGAGCATATAATTTTTTTTTAACATATTTCTAAACATAATAGTTTTAATAACTCATATGAGATAACTGATTTTTTTTTAATCTTTGCCATGGTGACAGTAAATAATATTTGACTAGATATTTTTCAAGACACTTCTATACAGCTTAAAGTGACATTTAAAGGCTTAACTAGGTTAATTAAGTTAACTAGGCAGGTTTGGTTGATTAGGAAAGTTATTGTATAATGATGTTTTGTTTAGTTGACTATAGAAAACAAATATAGCTTAAAGGGACTAATAATTTTGACCTTAAAATGTTTATAAAAAAAAACTGATTTTATTCTAGCCATAATAAAACAAATAAGATTTTATCCAAAAGAAAAATCATATTATCAGACATACTGTGAAGATTTTTTATTTATTTATTTTTTTTGCTCTGTTAAACATCATTTAGAAAATGCATTATTGCAATATTTAAAAATGCATTATTATATGCAATATAATATAAGCAATTAATATTTAAAAAATGCAAAGGGGGTTGAATAATTCTGATTGCAACTGTATATATTTTAAGATTTTTATATATTAAGATCAGATCAGAATAAATGAATTATTTCAAAATATCTGTCACCCAGAATGACAATGAATATTCGTCTTTTTTTATATTTCAAAAGTTGTTTGAGATATTAGAGCACTTTGCTTATATATTTTATTTTTTAAAGATTTATATGTATGTACAATTCTGGACATACACAATACACATAGGTTACTATAGGCCTAATACATGTTAATGCTAATAAATAATAAAAAATTAATAAATTGCCCATAAAATTACTTATTTATGACCACAAAGGCAAAATAAACCTTTTTAAAATTGTGTTACAACTGCCTTATCTTATATATAAAACACACCTAGAACCTGTTTTATCCTATAAATATTGTATGATTTAATATATATATATATATATATATAGGCCCAGGGGTGGACTTAACCAATAAGCAAGGTAAGCAGCCGCTTAGGGCCCCAGGGATTTAGGGGGCCCCCACCAATGCCAAGAATATTAATCATATAGTTATTTTATTAATTCTCTATCATATGATGTAAAATCTTTGTACAACCATTAAGATTTTAACATTATTACTTCGTTTCTAATCTGGGGGCCCCCATGAATAGTGGAATGTTTTTTAGCTTGTTAAGAAGGGTCTGTTCAAATAAAATATATATATATATATATATATTTTTTTTTTCCCAGTGAACAGCAATGGCCACCGATTTACAAACAGCTATTATTCAATTACAAGTGAAAAGATTAGTTTGAAAAATGACAGTGCTGTGTGTTTTTTGTCCAATATATTCTGTGGCGATGGGTACAATTTAATTTTACATTAATAAAATAAAAAAGGGTCTATTTTAAATATATTTTTAACATGCCGTTTATTTACAAAAAATAAAAGCAAATAACATATAATAACAATAATAATAATAATAATAATAATAATAATAAATGAATCTACGTAGAAAAATATCTAGAAAGAAAGAGAATGTTTTGAGTTTCAATGGGGCCCCATATAGGCTACCTAGAATTTTTTAGGGCCCCCAAATCACTAAGTCCACCACGTATATATTTCGTTGATTTGTTCTTAATAACATATTGTACTTAATAAGCATAAGGTTCATTAACAGAGTCCATTAGCGACTCATATTCACTCATAATTGTCCATCCTCATTTTACAGTATTTAATAGGATTCGAAATGTTTACAAAGGATCGGCTAACAGCTCGTAACTAACAATCAATTATCCGGCTCGGCTGAAGAGGCCTTAATGAACGCCGCGCTAATTATCCAATCTAGAGCCATTAGTTCCTTGTCAGCCGCTGGCAATTGTCTAATTGGCGGCTGCGATGTGGCTTCCAGATGAACCGCGGCCAGTGAAGCAGCGGCGGGCGCGGGCGAACTACAGCAGCTGGCAGCTGGAGGAGCTGGAGAAGACCTTCCAGAGCACACACTACCCGGACATCTTCATGAGGGAAGCCCTGGCGCTCAGACTCGACCTCATAGAGGCCCGAGTGCAGGTCCGTCCCGCTCTCTCTTTCTCACTAGGATTCAGGACACATTTGGAGATATATTGTCCTAATGAATGTTTTTAATATTTGCATTTCACTAAATGAAGTCTTGTTGATCTTTAGTGTAGGCTAAATATTCGAGTCTGTTTTAGAAAACAACTGAAAAAATAAGAAGAATAACAACAGCGTGACTTTAAGTATTATAGAAATATTGAAAATGATAATTCATATTGAAAATAAAAAGTGAGATCAAGGGGAACTAAATAATATATTTATTTTCCCCCTACAAATAAGCATAGGGAATTAAGGGGGAAATTATTTAAGTAAGAAATTAATTTTAAAATGTACAAATTAAATGATATTAATAATTAACAAAGAGTTTTGCAGAATTTATTCATTCATTCATTTTCTTGGTGGCTTAGTCCCTTTATTAATCTGGGGTCGCCACAGCGGAATGAACCGCCAACTTATCCAGCAAGTTTTTACACAGCGGATGCCCTTCCAGCTGCAACCCATCTCTGGGAAACATCCACACACACATTCACACACACACCCATACACTACGGACAATTTAGCCTACCCAAATACCAGTACCCAAATACCCAAACGCCAGAAATGTAATGAATATAAATGTAAAACATAATATTTAGAAAAATAAGTAATAAAATAGCATTACAAATTACTCATAAAATGAGACAAAACTGAGGGGAAAAATGGGGGAACACTATTTTTTATTAATTCATATTATATTAAGAAATGAAAAAAAATGTTATTTAGTAAATTAAATAATAAGTAAATTATATATTATACAAAAGTAAATTAGACTTTTGGAAATTAAATTTAGAGAATTCAAATATAAAATATATTCTTAAAATAATAAATTTAGAAAAATCAAACAGAAAAAAAAGTTCTTATTGAGAAAATAATGGATGTATCTCAATTAATATTTTACATTTTATAATTTATACATGTGTAGAAGAATCTGCTTGTCACTGAAAACAAGACTAAGGTCATTATTAATAATTGTAAAATTAACCACTTAACCGTCACACCATTGTTTTCAGACTTGAAAATGGTACATGGGATATGAATATGATCCTTTTAATTTTAATATACCAAAAAGACCTACATGTGTGATGCTTACAATTAAGGGATTTAATTGTTGTGTGACTGTGGCCGTACCTTTTCAAAAAGTATAATTTTATTTATACTTTGTATATGCACCATTTAAGATATGGACAATTTCAGTAATCCAGTAACAGCTCTTGCACCTTATAACAAATAACAAATATTATTGGAATACATTTACTTTAAAACTATTTTTCTTTTACATTTAATTAAACGTGTTTCTAGCTGGTTGTGAAAATGTCTAGCAACTCTTCCTATCTCCTCAAATCTTTTTTTAGTGCAAGTTATATTTACTAAATGCACTAAACCTAACAGCACATACTTTTTGAAATTCAACGTCCATCTGACTCAAAACCAAAGGACAAATGTTATTTTGTTTATCTCTGAAAAGCAAAGCTCATGCCAACATTTGTATTCTAAATATCTGCATAACACAATCTAACTCAATCTGAAACCAGCATAAACTTCACAATGAGTAAAAAACCTCCTGTTCTACCAGGTGTGGTTCCAGAACCGTCGGGCTAAAATGCGTCGTCAGCTGAAGCTCCAGATCCAAACAGGGGAGCAATGCAGCCAACGGGACACTGACACCAGACACCCCGAATCATCCATCAGCAACCCAGAGCTCCACAACAACAGCCCCAGCCCATGCTGGGACAGAAACCAAGACAGAACAAACCCTGCTCACCCCAAACCCTCGCCCTCAGCCATCCAGAGCCCCGTCACAGACCTGCTCCAAGACCAGCAGGACCCTGAGGCTCCCGGTCCGGAAGATCTGCGGTCCTGCAGTATTGCCAAACTTAGGGCGAAGGCCAGAGACTATGAGGCTGAGATTCACAGCACTGTGGCCAGAGAGAGGAAGATGAAGAGAGTCTCGGACAGAGACTGAACTGACATTCACAGGAAACACATCTCTAAACTCATTATTTATTACACACACACAGCGAGGTGGAAAAAAGCAAAACACAAATAAAATAAAATAAAAAGTGCTGGGTTCTTGCTGATATAATCTGGATTACAAACTAAACACTTGTAATTTGATTACATTTTAAAATGGTGATAATTATATTACTGTACTTTTTTGGTGCGTGATTACTGTATATGTTATTCACACACTGTAAAAAATTGCTGCCTTATTTTTTTAGCTGAATTAAATTAACTTTTTTGTCATCAATCAAACTGACTAAACTGTGAAGTTAAACTTTGTATAACAGTTTTCGATAGCTGTTTTAAAGACTTTCTTAGCTTGAAGTAGCTACCCCTGAAGTTTAAAATTTTAATAACGTTTTAACAACACCTTTACATCATGTATATTGCTCTCTGATGTCTGTTAATGTCTGTCAAAGGTGTTCAAAGCAATTTTGAGAAACATTTTGACCACAGTTTTTGCACCAACTCCTAAAGGCCACTTACAGCCAATAATTTAGTTTGAATTTATTTTATTGTTATGTCAGTGTGGTTTACTGTTTTCTTCTGAAATAAGTAAAGGACAGATAAACAAAAGTAATCAGATTATATAACTGAAATTTAAAAAAAAAATTTAATCAAATAATTAATGTTTCCAATTTCGCACTCTAAGAAAAGTTCCTTAAAATCACAACAAATGTACAGGGAGCTCTTTTCCTGTTTTTACACCAGTTATTACATGACCGGTTTAGGTAATGTATTGTATCAAACTACTAAAAATAGCAAGAAAAGTCAGTACATCAAGGTCCTGAAATGAAATTCAAAAGGGTAATTTAACAGAAATGCACTCTTGAATGAACCACACGCCAACTAGTTTATGTTCAAATATAAGGTCAGGTAACTGTCAATGAATATATATATATATATATTAACAAGCATCAAAATTACAATATTATTATAATATCATTAATATTTCTAATAATATTTTGTGATTTTCTTTGCTGGAAGAATTTTCTTTTTAAAATATATTTGGAAAATTGCTAAAAAATGTAAAAAAAAAAAAGAAAAGAAAAAAGCAGGGTTTCACACATATCCTTCTTGTTGTCCCAACACAAATCGAATATGATAAACTAATTGGTTTTTACAAATTAAGTGGATTGAACATAAAACAATTAAATTCAAGTCCAAAAAAACAACTCAATAATAGTGCTGATCCAGCTCATTTTTAACAAGTAGCAAAAATCACTATTTGAGCATATTTTATTTGAAATCAATTTTCACTTTAAAACAAATGAACCGATAAAATTAGAAAGAAAAGAGAAGTAACACTGCTTTAAACCAATTCAAAAGTAACCTGATTGCATTACAAAAATGTGTTATCTAATAGTTAATGTAGGCATTTTCTTAATGTAATTTGTAATCAGTAATGGATTATAGTCCCTAAATAATCTACCCAGCACTGGACACAGATTTCATCACCTGAACACATCAGATCATCACATCAGGTCATATTGTGTCTGCGATATACACTGCTAATAATTTCCTGTAGAATCTACAGTAACACTGGCAGCAGGTTACCAGTAACTTACTGTAATTCAATTACAACCAAATACTGTATTTACATTTACAGCACCCTTTATCTTGCTGTCTATGTATTTACAGTATTAAATATCTTTACTGTAAAATATACAGTAAACTTCAGTTCAAATTACAGTTTAGTTTGCCAGGAGTTTACTGTAAATCTATTACAGCAAAAATACTGCATTCACATTTATAGCACCATTTATCTTGCTGTATATTTACAGTATTATATATCTGTACTGTAAAATATACAGTAGTTTTCATAATGCAACATTAAAATACAATAACATACTGCAAAAGTGTCCTACAGTAAAATACAGCTCATATTACCGTTAAATACCGTGTAATTTACAAAAATCGTTAACAGTATATGAGTAACTCATAATTATAGCATGTGTTTAGTTTTGTTTGGCATGTTAAAATTTTAAATGCTATATCAAGTTTTAGTTTTTCCAGTGACTATTCAGACAAATTCAAGGCTATACATTTTGTCTACTCTAATAATTATTATATGTTTATATTATTTTAAATTAATTTAAAAGGGCATTATGAAATTATAAGTAGCAGCAATTCATATAATGCATTTAAAACATATGAAGGTCAATTCCATATCTACAAATGTGACGGCTTCAGTTGTTGTTGGACTGACAGTGAGTGAACGAGAAACTAAAAAAGGAAACTGCTGATGATGTCATCGATGGCCTGCTCTTCTATCAGCTCTCCTGTTACCGGTGTGGAAACACAGGACGTCTGCAAGCTGCCACAAGCCCTCCAGAAACACAATGGGGATTTTTTTTTAAACTCTTCCTGACAAATGTGCTTTTTAAAGACCAACACACTTTTTATTTGTGTTTGAATTTATACATAGATGATAAAAAGCGTTTTCAAACAACAACAACAACAACAACAACAAAAATTCAAATGAAATGTAGCTTTAAAACATTTTTGTCCAGTTTCTGTGCAAAAATATCTACCATGCATTTTACCATGATTTACAGAATACATTTATTAACCCTTTAACTACCTCACTAAGAAACAAACGGTTTGTATTGCATTTCTTAACTCCTAATGTTGCTAGCTAACACAATGCATTTGTTTTCAACCCATAATGTTATAAATAGCAACCTCTCCAAATAGTTTATATGTTAGTTTATAGAAAAATACCTATAATGAATACATAAATCTAAAAATCTGAAGTGTAAGACCAATTTATTATATATATATATATATATAAAATCAATCACTCTTTAAATGACTTAAAGTCATTATTTAAAACAGTCAAAACATGATTAACCATTTGCAAGAGCCGGCAGTTTAAGGGCTAAAACAGTATTCAGTGTAAGAAAAGATTACACCTAAACATACTGAGCAAAAATTTATCTACGTGCATCAGCAAAAGAATTTGCATGGCAACACCCTAGTAAATGCATAATGATATTCTTGCAACCACACAGAACACACTAGCAATCACTCAAAAACCACCTTCGCAACTGAAAGGCGCATTTTCTGAGAAACTTTAAATTCTGAGCTTTTAAAACTTTGTTAAATGTCAAATTATATTTCAAGCGTTTAAAACTACTTTAAATTTCAGGCTTTCCAGAGCCATTATCAGAATTACTTTGACTTTTATTTAATCCATATTTTAACATTTATTTTCACTGAAGTTATTTGAAACATTAAACTGAACCAATAACTAATATGTCTTTGCATTTATAGCCACTTTTAAAATTTTTATTTGAATGGGACATCTTGTGTGTGACCCATCTATACATAGTGTTAACTTCTGATATCATATACAATTATCTAAAGGTTTTAGAAATCACTTTTATATTTTAAGTAACACTATTTTCAAGAAAATCTGCAACTAGGTAATCCTGAGAAATCATTTTCACATCCTCTGAGAACCTTAGATGTTGGTGTACCACAGTTCAATTTAAGCACAGCACCTGCATGTCAAATGAATTTAAAGACCCTTAAAGGGATCGTTGAAATATTAAAACTCTGTCAATATTCACTCAGCCTTTATTTGGTTGCCAATTTATTCGACTTTCTGTTGAACACTAAGAAAACTTTCTTCAAAATATCTTCTTTTGTGAATAAAGAAACTTTTAAAGGTTTGGACCCACTTGTAGGTGAGAAAATGGTGGGTAAATTTTCTATTTGAGGTGAACTATCCCTGTTAATCAGACAATTTCCTGGATCTCAACATCAGCATGCTATTTTTGTGAAACCAAAGTCCAGAATTTGCGCTTGTCTCTCAGTCTTCAGTTGCTGGAGTAAGAGTGCCCTCCTCTGGCATCCTTAGGGTGTCTTGTGTTGAGATTAAGCGGGTCTGTTTGATCACAGTCATTCTGACACCAACAGTGTGGATGAAATCTGGGAGAGGGTTTAACACGTAACAAGCTGCTCAGAGGTTAGCACAGTAGGTAGCGCTGTCGCCTCACAGCAAGAAGGTCACTGATTTGAGCCTCGGCTGGGTCAGTTGGCATTTCTTTTTGGAGTTTGCACATTCGTGGGGTAATCCCTTCGGGTGCTCCGGTTTGCCCCACAAGTCCAAAGAAATGCGCTATGGGTGAATTGGGTGAGCTACATTGGCCGTAGTGTATGTGTGTGAATAAGAGTGTATGGGTGTTTTCCAGTTCTGGGTTGCAGCTGGAAGGGTAAAACATATGCTGGATAAGTGGGTGGTTCATTCCGCTGTGGCGACCCCCAATTAATAAAGAGACTGAGCCGAAAAGAAAATAAACACTGTAAAAAAATGCAGGGTTCCACATAATTCCTTCATGTTGTCCCAACACAAATTGATTAAGTTAACTTAACACTTTTGACAAATTTATGTGCATTGAACATAAAAAAATTAAGTTGTCCCAATGAAATCTCAAGAACTGTGTTGTTTCAGCTCATTTTAAATAAGCAGTTTGAAATAGGGAAAAAAATCAATATTTTTTGAGTGAATGAATGAAGCTGCTCAGATTGTCATGCAAATCTGGATTCAGAAGATTCATCAACCTATCAATTTTGCATTCATTTACTGTACAACTTGAGAGGCTCACCACGGGTTACCTAAGTCAAACACAAATCCGTAATAGGAGGTGAATCATCTAAATTTAAAATCATTATGAGACTGAGGTTAATATTGTCCTTTTTGTCCCCATAATATGATGTACATCCAATTGAAACGGTCCTAAAATGAGAAAAAAAATGTAGGGTGGTGCAGGACTTTGTCTTTTGGGAACCAACTGGATCGTCGGAAGATGGTTGTTGCTAACAAAATGAAGATTAACGAAGGGACAAAAGCAAGGCAGAAACAAGAGCCAGCTTGATAGCCCATGCAGAAAGGAAATCCATGTGACCAGAAGTGAAGAAAATTAATTTCGATAAGGTATGGATTAAAAGATTATGATACATTTATTTTTTATTTTTTACCAAATAATGAATTGCACAGATCTATATACGCTCACCGGCCACATTATTAGGTACCTTAATGACCACAGTCTATCCATCATCTGAATCATCTCAGACTGTTTTTTGAACATGACAATGAATCCACTGTATTCAAATGGCCTTCACAGTCACCAGATCTCAATCCAATAGAGTACATTTGGGCGGTGGTGGAACGGGAGATTCGTATCATGCATGTGCAGCCGACAAATCTGCAGCAGCTGCGGGATGCTATCATGTCAATATGGAGCAAAATCTCTGAGGTATATGTCCAGTACCTTGTTGAATCTATGCCACGTCTTTCACTGCCTTAGATCTGCTGATTGGTGTTTCTGTAAACATGGTTTCGCATGTTAAATTGTGTTGTAGTTATGTGAGTGAAGTGAACATGAGAAGAGCGGAACAGTGAGCTCATGATAGGAGTGTTTTCAATGTGTTTTGGTTCACATCCAAATGATCTCTTTGCAAGTGTTGTAAGTTTGGGTCACATTAAAATGTACATTTGAAAATGCAATGGTTGTTAGCTGAAGAGTATCATTTCAAAAGAATAATTTCCCTGTGGTTTTCTATCAAAATAAAAGTCCAATGGCATACAGTTACCACACTGCATTCCAAACAAGATATTGCCCTCAGAAGGGCACTTTGGAGTCAAAACATTCATGACAGGGCTGCCATATTAAAGTGTCATTCCAAACCGAAGTGCTCAAACTGGCCAATTCAAAGGGCCCTTTGGAATGAAGGATTTGAGGAATACAAATGATGGAAACTTTAGGCCATGGTGCAATGAGTAGTTATTTTTGTGACTGGAAACCAGTGCAAATTTGCCTCACACGATCCTAAAAAAACTGAACATATTTTTGGAGTGCCCCCTGGTGGCTGGCTGCAATACAGGCCATAAACCCGTCTTCTCAATTTACTAAATCAGGGGTGTCCAAACCTGGTCCCAGAGGGCCGGTGTCCTGCATATTTTAGTTCCAACCCCCTTTAGACACACCAGAACTAGCTAATCAAGCTCTTTCTAGGTTACTAAGGCTGTATCCGAAACCGCATACTTCCATACTGTATAGTACGGTAAAATCAGTATGCGATAGTATGTCCGAATTCATAGAATTCAAAAATCAGTATGCGAGAAGTATCCGGATGACTTGCAACTTCCGGCGAGATTCTGAAGTGCGCATCCCATGCACGCTGTGCTATAGCATGATACCCCACGAGAGAATTTTTGAATGGAAGTGAAGTGACGCAACTGACACAGATAGGTCACATGACCATGACAAAATGGCAGATGTAGTATGTCCGAATTCTATTCATACTTTTTACACCCATACTGTATAGAACGTACTTTACTTAAATTCAAATGCAGTACCTACTGAGTAGTAGGCGGTTTCGGACGCAGCCCAGGTATACTAAAAACCTCCAGGTAGGTGTCTTGGAGGAAGATAGAGGTAAACGGTACAGGAGAGCAGACCTCCAGGACCGAGTTTGGACACCCCTGTACTAAATGAAAAGCCTTTGTGAGCTGAATTAAAAAATTACAATAGACTTATTAATGTTTCTTTTTTTTCAGTTTTGCTGTCTCTCATTTTAGGTAGTTTTTATCTCACTGATGTGTGTTCAGGTGTTTGTTTATAGGATGTAGGAGTCACTTTAGAACAATTTCACTTGTAAGTTGTAAAATAATTACATAAAGACATAACAACCCACATAGCAAAATTTTTTTGGACCAGATCTGGCCCACACAATCAGATTTTGCGTGGCCCACATACTGCTGTGAATTACGGTACATGACTAGACCAAGTCTGGCTTCCATATAAGGGCCAAACAAGGACTATATCTGGGTCTAGTCTTAGCCAAGTTAATAACCCATAATTCGACCTGAACTGGGCCAGCTATGGCCCATGTTTGGCCATTGTCTGGAAGCCATATTTGGTGTGTCACGACTTGATGATTAATAAACTGTAAATCATAAATTGATAAACCCATGAAGCACTGCGCTTCAGGTGCGTTAATAATTGTAATGGTTGGTTAATAATAACATAATTTGGTTAAAATATATGTAATGTAGGTTCATTCATTCATTTTCTTTTTCGGCTTAGACCCTTTATTAATCAAGGGGTCGCCACAGTGGAATGAACCGCCAACTTATCCAGAACATGTTTTACACAGCTGATGCCCTTCCAGCTGCAACCCATCACTAGGAAACACCCATACAGTACACTCTCATTCACGCACATACACTACGGACATTAGCTTATCCAATTCACCTATAGCGCATGTCTTTGGACATGTGGGGGAAACCGGAGCACCCATAGGAAACCCACTCGAACACAGAGAGAACATGCAAACTCCACACAGAAACGCCAACTGACCCAGCCGAGGCTCGAACCAGTGACCTTCTTGCTGTGAGGGGATAGTGCTACCTACTGCGCCACCGTGCTTCCCTTAATATGGGTTAAATTCTGTTAATTTGCGACATACAGGAAAAGCTAGATTAATAACTCTTGTTGTTTCCTGGATTAAAATGAAGGCATTAGAAGATGCAAACAGGAAGATGGAAATGACTTTGTGCATCAAAATATTTATTTACTAAAAAGTAAATTTTAAAAAGTGGGTCAAGATAGGCCAAACTTACATGCCCAACATATCAACTTTTAACATCTGGGCCAAATACTACATTTGACATCGGGCCTATGTCTTGCATGCCACCTTAAAGACGATGCCACCACTGCCAAACCCTGGCCATGTTTGGCCCACAAGCTGTATGGCAGAGCCGGATGAATGCCTGCTGTGCCATCTTTATACCAAATCTGGGCAAAAATCCTTTCCTACCTGGGAAGTAACAATATTAAAAGCAATCAAACTTAGTCAGTAATAATAGACATACAGTATAAGGCACAAGAAATGCTAAATCTAATAGTTAATGAAACAATACATGTAATTTATATTGTCAATTGTAAAATATTGTCTACCCAGCACTGAACGCAGAATTCGTTCAGTTTGTGCACATTGTGCACATTGGGTTTGGGTGGGATTTTGATACTGTCTGTGTCCCACCCTCATAGTCACTCCTCACAGACTTGGGTTTCAAATTCAAAACATGACAGTGGACATCATCATTTATAATAGGCACATTCTGACTTAGGTTCAACACAAGGTCTTGGGTACATAAAAAAACTGTCTTATAAATTGTAGAGATTATATAAGGGTTAGATCATTTAAAGTAAAATAAATCTATTTTATTATTGATAATGTAAAACAAGCGCTCATATTTGTACTGAACTGAATGTTAAAACATATTTTTCCCTAGATGGTTTATGTACAGTCTGACCTTGTTAAGAGGCCTTTGTTTAAATTCATATTCATGCACCAATAATCTGAACTGATTTATGCTGATGATTGTAAACAACGTCCTCTGCAGCCCCCTGTGGTTTCACCCTAAACACATTCCATGTTTATTCTGCATCATAAAAATATGGGTCATTCGTGTAATGAAGTGCCTTATATGAGCACTGTAATATTACAATAACAAATGTTGCAGTTTAAGAAATCATTTTTATAAAGCCTACACTGAGCTTTCAGATATATAGTCTGGTGGAATTTAGCCGCTAAAACTTTATTAATTATAACTAACATTATTTACACAAGATGGAACCTGGATGAGGATAGTTAGCTAGTTTACATAGTGTCAACCTATAATTTACTGTATGCGAATAAAAAAAATGTTTTGATAATAACACATGTAATCATAACAATATAAAAAAGTTTTAAGGTGTTTAACCTAAATGCACACTGTATAAGGTGACATAAAGTAATAATTGTTCGAATGACCCACACCTCATCTGACAAAGTACAGAATTTGGCCCCATATGTCCCACCACTTTAAGAAGAATAACCAATAAAATAAGACTTTTAATATTTACAGTTTTTCTCATTGGCTTGGTGTATTTCTCACAACACTATTTACAATTGCACAACAGTTAATGCATTTATAAAAACAATTAGTACAAACTGCGAAACCTAGATGTAACCTGCAAAAGAGTGTCACTTGCTCAAAATGGATAGCTCATTTCTCAAAAGCAAGTATTGATGTCAATGAAAGTGTCAGTGTCATTAAAATGAAAAGTCCTGACAACATTGTTTATTACAGTTTTCCTCAGTCGCTTTGGTGCATTTCTCACAACTCTATTTACATTTGCATTTCTCAAAACAAGTAGTAATTTGTGCACATCATAGTAGCAGTTTCTCATTCCTTCCAACAAATTGCAAATGCTTTTGGACATTTATCAATTGCTTTCATTCAACTCTCTGCTGTTTATAACATTATCACTTGCTTATGTCAGTCAAAATTAACTAAACTTGTGAATGCTGAATAGTCATTCCATATAAAACTAATAGTCTTAATTTTAACATCTACTAGAGTCATTAATAAGTCATCAAAATATGTCAAGCAAATTTTATCAAAAAAACTTGTCTTCTAAATGTCTTCTAAACTGAACAATTTCAAGAATGTTTTACAGACCTTTCTTGTATATATAGGTTCAGTTCCAATATGTACTGCAGAATTGTTTACAGTTGTGCACAGCTCTACCCAAAGTAAGTTTATATTTGTTGTAAATAAGGGTGTGTTTATTTTTTTTTTGCACAATGCTGTGAATAACTTAGAATTGCAATGAGCATATGCAGTGCAAATATGAAGCATATATTCATTGTCTTGTACTCAGATACGTTACTTAATGCAGTGATGTCTAACTTTACTGTAGTTTATAAATGTTTTTTTTTTTTTTTTTTTGTTACGACAGAACAAAACTGCAGACCATAACTACTGTATATTGTTTGGTTTTCTAAAATGGGCCTTTATTGTATCACATTCCACCAACCTTCCTCTCTCTTTGTTAATTATTTAACATGTAATGTAGTCATATTAAACAAAGATCTAGCACCCAGCAAAACAAACTCCATAAAAAGGACAACTAAAGCAATTAGCGTTTAATTATTGATGACAATTTGAGGCTCCTCCTCCTCCATTTCCTCTGCTCCACAGGTGCCGCTCTGCAGGAGTAAGCAGATTTGAAGAGACGCCGCATTTACAGCTCAACGTCCCCTTCAGTTCATTTTAATCTTAATTTTCGGCGGACGTTTTCTCTTTACGGCTTCGTAATTTTGTCGGAAAAGACCCTTTTTAGTTTCCTGTTATTAAAAAACACTTTGCAGTGAGTAGAGAGAGCGTTTGGAGAGAATGGCGGCTATTAAAGCGCTCCAGCAGTGGTGTAAAATTCAGTGCGAGGGATACCGAGATGTGGCCATCAGCAACATGAGCATGTCTTTCAGAGATGGACTGGCCTTCTGTGCGCTCATCCACAAGTTCAGACCGGATCTCATGTGAGAGACTTTTATTACAATCTTTTTATTTGCCCTTGGTTAGGGTGCAGAAGTTGTTCTGCTCGTGTAACTGTGAAGTATTACACCTTTTGTATTTGGTAATTTAATGAGAATATAACTGTAATTCAAATATGTATGTCAGGTAACGTATTTAAGAAGGAATGGGAAGTGTAGAGATTTTCAGTCTGGTTTATAGATAGCGATACGTTATGTTGAGTATTTACATCTGAACCTGGTCATATTTAAACAGATAACTGAATTAAAATTTCCTGAAACTTTTGCAACATGTTATGAGCTAAACAGAAAACCCCCTTCACTCAAGTGGACACTTAAGTCATTAAAAAACTGAATGTTAGTTCTCAGCTTTGGCGTTTGTTTATAGCTTCAGACAGTGTGTTTGATTGTGTTGAGTGGAAATTTGTCAATTTAAGTGTATTGAAATAAAATGTAAATGCTATATATATATATATATATATATATATATATATATATATATATATATATATATATATATATATATATATATATATATATATATGGCTTCTGTTGTGTTATGACAGATGATGATTTTTTTTAGTTGATATCCAGTAATCTACAAATATTTTAAGGAGCATCACAAAAATATTATATTATAAAATATCTTCATATGTTAAGGCAACAAGCTGTAATAGGCAATGTGTATTATCATTTCATTGCAATGTAAAATAAACTATAGTGAAGGAAAAAACTGATTGGACCTAAGGTTTTTACCTTTCTTACATTTAAAGTTGATGTACATGTAAGCTGTCGCCTTGATTATTTGGATTAAAACCTGTTGGCATTGCCCACTTGCAGTCACATGTGAATATGATTTTTGTTTTTTAACCATCTTTAAACATTTTGCTTGTCAAATTTTGCTTGAATATTGTAGGTTATCCTTAACCCATACCACTGTCTCATGTTTAAACTAAGACTTATCTTGACACTATATATGCAAAATTTATATATTCTATATTGGTTTTATGTGTGGCTTTAAAAAAAAAAAAAAAACTGACATCACTTTTAATTTTCAGTTTGATACACATTGGAAGTAGGCTACAACGTTCTTTTAGCATCAGGAATGTTTAGGTTTGACAATGTTTTTATCTGTCTGTCCGCTGACTCATTTCCTTTCTTTCTTTCAGAAACTTCGAGTCTCTCTCCAAAGACAATGTGTATTACAACAATCACTTGGTAAGTTTGTAGTTTTGTTTGTTTGTTTTGTCCTTGATCATAGGAAATGGTGACATCAGAGTGACCTGTTACTTGCGTGTTGTGTATCCACATTTGGCCGTATCCTGTACAGATGTGGGTTTTCTACAGTCTCTTGATAGCTAGTGCAGATACTGTAGTTGAAATACTCTGTGCAAGACAGGAATAATGAAGATTGTCTTTTGCTCTCCATCCACTTTGTTAAAAAAAAGATTTTTTTTCTCTGAGTTGAACACAATTTATATTTTGAATGATGTTGGTAGCTTCATGTTCTCCATGTGTTGGTTGGGTATTCTCCGGGTGTTCTGGGGGCTGTTCCAGAAAGCAGGTTATGTGACATACACGGGTAAGTTTGAGAGTAAGTAGGTGGATAACCTCAACTTTGGTTCCAAAATCGGAGGTAACTTCTGGGTATGTTAAGTAGCCATAGCAACTTACTCTCTGAAGATAACCTGCTCCGAAGCAGGTTATGTTCAGAGAGTAAGTTGCTATGTTTCAGAGTTTGTCTGTTTCAGAGAGTTTACTGAGCATTGCGTGCTCTTTTGATGAGAATATTTATGGATGTGGACACACAGATACAAGTTTTTTCGTTGTAAGAGGGTTATAAGTGAAGTTTTTTTCATAACTAAATTCATAATGTTAATGTATTTAACAAACCTTTTTGAAATCAAATGTGACAAACCGCGGGTCTGCGCTTACCATGAAAAACATTCAGTGCAGCTCTTTGTATTCGCGTCAGGGCATTTTAGGCAACTGTACAATGTGGCAGCATGACCTCCTGTACAGTATGCCTGGCACTGAACTGCTTTTTACACTTTTGTACAGTTCCTTGGTCATACATTACTGCGTATCATTACACAGATGATTCAGAGCACGGGAATAGCGTAGTGGACAGTGCGTTGATAAAGAACAACGGAGCGCACAACGGAGCTAGTTCGAATCTTACTTATAGATTTTGTGTTTTTTCTCTCCTTCAGCACCCTTACATTTTTCTGTATAATATTATAAGTGGTAGCTTTGTCTTTTGTAGGAAAATATATCTTTAATTTAAGATGTAGGACGTCATTCTTATATATACATTCACGCACACACACCTACATTTTTAATATAATATTTTTTTCAGGGTTTCTAAATGCTATTGTGTGCATTAATTGCAGCCGATTTTAAAGCTCCATCAGTCACTAAAGGACACTGATAATATAAAATTTGTCCAAAGTATAAGTGTGCAGGTACAACTTAATTTTCTATCTTTAATCTTTTGGTGTTTCAACTATTAAACTCATTACTGCTTCCACTTACCAGCTCATCACACACCTCACCTCATCACTATGTTGAGGCTAAATGGCTGATTTTCAGGAAGTAATGATTCAAGTGTATAACACAAATATAGTAAAAAAAATAAAATAAAGCAAATGTTGCTTAACACAATGTTTATTTTTATTATATTTGTATTATAAAATAGAATCATTACTGGGCACTACATTGTTACTTGCTGGAGGACAAAAGATACCCTTTTCTGCCTTATACGATGACACGTACCTGCAGCCTGAACCAGAGAAAATCTCAGCGACCCAAGCAGACAAAACAGATGGAAGAGTGATAAAAATATTTAATTAGTCAAAAAACTATGTTTAATCAAATAGTTTGGTCTGTTCATTTCTTCATTTCCTGAAATAAAATGAATGATTTTGTACACTGCTTTATACACACACCTTTCAACGTGTAACATATTTTTCATATACATTTCTCACCTTAAGTTGATGCTCATGTGACTTTATCTTTGAAGATGGACCTTATACAGCTACTTTAGAATTTAAATATGTAGATAAAAGATTTTTTGATCCAAGAGTAATATTCAAATATGGAAAAGTGTAGAAAATTCTTACACTGCTTGTTAGTTGAGGCAGAAGGAACTTCGTCTGCATGCAAAATAAAAAGAACCTAAAGCTATCTGACAACAATCACTTACAACAGTGATAGAGTGTGTGGTTTAAGTCAAAAACTCAACCAGTGAAAAGCCTTTATTATAGGACACAGCAGTTCGACAGGCCTCTTACTATTAGCTGCATGTCAGAAAGAATATTCTAGAGTGTTGAATAAAGAGCTCCAGTAATTAAATATTACCTTTTATGATAATGGTTCTGTGTTTAATGACTTTGGACAGAGTTCTAGCTCCAGAAAGATTACAATTTCTATAAGCCTTATTAGTCAATACATATATTGTAGCCTTAAGAAATGAATGGCAAGAAAAATAAATGCATGAATGGTTACACAACATACTCAAAAAGGATGTTTAAGAGCAGTTTAATTTATCATTACAATAAAATGGAGGGTGGCATGTGTAATTTAATGAACTAATAAATTTTCTTATTTATTTTTTATTTTCTTATCTATTTCTTATTCTATATTTCTTTCCTTCGTTGAAGCAGATGTGTAATCTCTGTGTTTAAAACCTCCAGCTTCGCCTCTGTAAAGTGCGTTGCCCTTTTTTCCTCACCATGACTTTCTATGGTGACTCGTGAATTCGGCGATCTACTGAAAATGCCTTCAGGTGTGTGCCGTGCACGCGCATTAACCCGCGGTTATCTTCAGGAGGTTGATTTAACTAACTCTTGTCACCTGTTTTGGAACCAACATACTCGCGGTAAGCAGGTTTTGGGTAAATCAACCGAGAGTTTAGGTTTTAGCAGATGGTAAGTTAACCCAGCTTTCTGGAATACCCCCCTGGTTTCCCCCACAGTCCAAAGACATCTGGTATGTGTGAGTGTATGGGTGTTTCCCCAGTAAAACATATGTTGGATAAGTTGTCGTTGTGGCGACCCTGATGAATAAAGGGCCTAAGCTGAAGGAAAATTATTAAATGAATGAAGACACAAGCAATGTTGGTATTCAGTGACTAGCTTTCAACTTAAATTGTATTCATAGTTTTCAGCATTTTTTTAATTGTCAAATTTTATGTGCAACAAAAGAGAAAATCATGCCTGGAAAAAATTAAGGGTGAGAAATTTGTAACTTTTGCATGATTTTTTACATTTATTTTTTGCTTTTAGTCACAGTATGGCTGGACATTTGTTTGTAACCCAGCTCATGTAGTGTGCAGCACTTTAAAGAAACAAATGCATGAAAAAGCTTGAATATCCTATTCCCTAAAGCTTTTTTTAAATGCTTGTGATCTATTTTGTTTTTGTTTACTTTAAATAATCTCCATTTATGCTTTGCTTTTGGCACAATAAAAGACATCCTTTAGATAATCCAAAAATTACCTTGCATGAAAACGAATATCAAAGTTTCAGACCTCAGTGTGCTTAAGTCAGTTGGGAATAATGTTGCCTTAAAACTAAGTTTTTAATTTATAAAATCAAGCCAAGAGAGGTTAACGAGCTGCTATTTAAGAAAACGCATGCAATTACTGTACAAAAAACGTCAGCAAATTGAGAAAAGATCTTCTTTAGTTTGATAGCACACATGCTGTAAATCCTCAATGCAAACACCTAAAAAAAACAGGCATAGTTATTTTCCCACAGCGCAAACAAATTATGAAAACATCTACAGTTTCTCACAACACTTGCAAATAGAACAGAACATAATGAAAATGTTTCAAGAGGACCCTAAAATATGATGCTGTGAAATCTTTATTGTGCCGTGACTAGTGCTCCGTGAAGTTGTAGGTGCTTTTTTTGAATAGTGAGTTTTTTTTTTTTTAACATCCTTTATCCCTTTTGAGCCTAAATAACTATAACCTAAAAAGCTGGTTCCATCATGGTTTATGGTCTTGTTATAACTCAGATATGTGACTTATAAAATCAGAATTTAGAGTTATAAACTCCAGAATTGTGACTAAACATTCAGTTCTGTTTTATTTGCTAAGTGTTATGAGAATGCTGTGTGTTTTCTTTGTTTGCATTGTGGGGATTTGCAACACGTGTGCTATCAAACCGATGAAGATCTTTTCTTTATTTGCTGGTGTTTTTTATTTATTAATTTTTTTGTAATGGTACAGTATTTGTTAAATTGCAGCACGCTAAACTCTCTTAGCCACCATACTTTCGTTAGGTGTTACTTCCTTTTGATCGATAGAAATCTTTATTCACATTAAATATCCCATGCTTGCTGTTATCATTTTACATGCGTTTTTTTTCCTACAATGGTAGATTTTTAAATTTGTAAATCTTTAAAAAAATAAGTTTAAAATTAGGAAGTGTTTTTTTATTTATTATTAAAATGACTAAATTATATTTTGTATTTTAATTATATTACAGGGTGTCCACGGGGTCTTAAAATATTAAAAGTTGGTGCATCAAAGTTTTAAAGTCTTGCTATTTTGCAAGGTATTAAATTTATCAGTTTTGCTCATGCAATGTATGGTTGTATGCTAATGTTTGCCTGAATTCTGCCAATATTAGGATGCTGCGTAGTTTATGAAATCAATAAAATCGTACTAGATTTGACATCATGCTGCTTTGTTTACTGCAGAAACCAAGGCAACACCATTATTTCTGTAGTTCTATAGGTGCTAGCATGCTGAATTAACTAAAATGTAATCATTTTTATTCAGTATATGAATAATGTTTTAGTTTTGAATTAATTTCCTACATATTTAATAAATATGCGAAAATGTTGCCAGTGTTTCCAGTTGAAAAGTGGTTATAAGGTCTTAATGTATAGAAACAGTCTTTAAAAAGGTCTTAAAAGGAATTTAATTTTCCTATCGGATTCCTGTACATTCTCTGTATTACGTTCATTTGGGTAACTTGCATTGTATGTCAATTTAAAGCAGTTTTGCCCATAGAGGAAAAAAGATTAGATTTAATAATAAAGATATCAAATTTATTGCACATACTTCGTTTCAAACAAACAAAGTATGAAGGTTCCTTAAATATTCCTGACATTTTAATTGAATCATTAATGGGTTTCAATGGAGCATTTTTGTCTTGAAAGTCTTTAGTGTAACTATTGTTAATGCCCTGTGTAAAACTAATGTATTAAAGGACATAATGGTGAAATATAAACATTTCAATAAAAATATACCTCCTTTGCAGTTTGCATTTAACAATATAAAAAATTAAATCTAATAAATATGCAAGTTAGGGTTAATCATGCATGTTCTCTTTTGTAAAAAATTCAATCTTGTGTTTAAGACCAGTGCCAGTGACCTAATTCTTTTTCTTTCCTGTCAGGAAGTGCTTGTATGAGAATGAACTGGCGAGACACGCCACAACTGGGACTTTTTCCACAATGATGAGCTCTTTCTCGCGTTGCTTCCTCAGAGACAGGCGATTACAGGCCACACACTCCGAGATCTGTTTCAAACCCTCAGCACTTCTATAGACTGCGCTCTCTGCTGTAGTTTGAACCCGAGCCGCGTGGAGTCTATCCAGTTAATGCATTATAAACAAGGGTGACAGTCATCAACAGTGCACCTGATCCTCTCCGGCAAGATTAACTTACCTCTGTTCTACTACTGTCTTTACAACTGTTAGTCCATCGCTGCATTAAACACTAAAGAATGGCTGATTTGTCTAATTATATGACCTGAAATGTTTTTAGAATCAACCTTAGACCCTCATATTTGTGCTACAAAAGAGAAACAGGAAGTCGCAGCTGCTTCATGGAGGATATGCACACCCCTCCTCAGCTGTCCTGTAAATTTTAATGAGTGTGTCCAGGTCAGGTCTAAACAATGCCCTGGTATCCCCCTCTTCTGTCCTTGTTCCCAGGCCTTGGTGCGAACAGGAAATGTGCTATTCATTATGCACTCCCTGCCCGGGCCGCCTTGACACACTGCCAGATCGTGCTGCTTTACTGGCCTGTTCTATTTTTGACAACTTTTTGTCCCTTGTCTGTGTTTACAGTTAATTGGCCGAGTGCCTTTCCTCTAAAAAACCGTTGCCCAGTGTGATCGCGGCGGCTTGAAACAATCATATGAGGTCATGTTGAATGAGCGTGTTCAATGGTGGCGATTAAACACTGGGTGACTTTTGTTGCTGTGCATGTCTAATTGTTGTTTTTTCTGTATGGGGTCATCCTCCTCTTATGTCCCGCTTGTTGTTGTGAACTTCTGTTGTGATTTTTTTTATTTATTTTTTTATTTATTTATTTTATTTTATTTATTTGCTTCAGGCTTTTCGTGTGGCTGAAGATCATCTGGGGATCCCTGCTCTTCTGGATGCGGAGGATATGGTGGCCTTGCCTGTCCCAGACAGACTCAGCATCCTCACATATGTCTCACAATACTACAATTACTTCCATGGCCGCTCCCCAAGTAAGTTCGCTCGCAAGCAAACATTATATAGGTGAAAGTTTAATTATTAGCTTTCTTTGTGAGATTTTTGATGCAGTGAGACTCTCCATCTTTGTTTTAGAGCAGAGTTTCTCAACCACACTGCTGGAGGACCACCAGCTTTGCATTAACCATGTCTCCTTGGCCAAACACACCTGATTTAGACTTAGCTCATTAGCAGAGACTAAAAAAACTGTAATGGGTGTCAGAGACAAAAGGAGACATCCAAAACATTCAGCAGGGTTCATACGGGTGCTGGAAATCCTGGAAAATGCTTGATTTTATTGTTTGTTTGTTTTCTTCAATAGTGTTTTCAAGTTTAGAAAAGTGTTTGAGTTTTGTACAAAGTGCTTGAACCAGCTTGAATTTAAAAATTGCAGGGCTTGAAATTGTGACCATTTTGGTTGCATATGTGCCCAAAATTGTATCCATGCGAGCTCAAAATATATTTGGGAGCATTTGTGCGAGTGCATACATTTGTTGCTGTGTGACCCGTTTTGATTGCAAAATGTTCACCGCATGCATGTATTTGGTAGACATACATGCAGAGTGCATATTAGGTAATATTGCATATTAACTAAAAATGCCAAACGCAGTGCTAAGGAATAGTTCAAAACAGTTGGCATGTCAACTTGCTGCAGTAAACAGCCAGCAATGCCTGCCCTGCCTTCAAGCTCTTCTGAGTGGCCTACTGTTCTTGAACTGAACGTGAATGGATTGGTTAAGATCAGCTGTCAATCACCCAGTCCATGCCTGTTTTCAAATGACAGGGAGCTACAGCTGCGAAAATGTAAAGGTCTGGGTAAGGGAGATTGAAAATAACACTGACAGTGACATTTAGTTTTCGAAACCACCTAAAGTTACAAATAATGGCAGATCTGATCAGTGATCATGTGGTTAATGTTAATCCACCTTTACACTTTTCGAAGAGTAGATAAAAGACTTGCGATGGGTTAAAGCCCACTATGAAAATGATACGAGGATAAACGGCATAAATAAACGTAATTTTACTGTGGCTGTTAGGTGCTGGAAAAGCATAAAAATGCACCTTAGAATGCTTAAAAAGTGCTGGAATTTGAAATTGGAAAAGGTGGAAGAACCCTGATGCAATGTTGGCGCTCTTCCAGGAGCATGGTTAAGAAACACTGTTTTAGACTGTGCAGAATGGAGTTCTAGCAGTTTTGTTATTTGCAGTAAATCAAATGCTGTACAGCGTGATGGGAAGTATGCCTTAAGTCAACAAAAACATTAAATGCAAGCAACAACCTTACTGCTTTGCATGTTTAACTTCAACTTCCTTTGGTGCTTTTTTTCAGGGAACATGCATATAAATATCCTATTAATATCTTATTTTTTATTATTATTTTTTTTAACTCCAATTGCGCACACAGATTTGAAAAACACACAGAGTGAGAAAACACACACAGCGCACAGTGAGCATAATCCCAGAACACTTGTCAGCAATTATAGGAGTTAGGTGCCTTGCTCCTACTAGAGAGATTGCGATTCATTTACTCCCCCACCTTCCATTCTTGCCAGTACCCAAAATCGAACCAGCAACAATTGAGCTACAAATCAAACTCTAACCATTATGTCCCAGCTGCCCCATAAGAGTTGGCACATGCTGTAAAGACTGCCCCCTGCTGTAAAATGCATGACAAGGAGCAGCTTATTTTCTTTTAAAGAGATGCACATTTATATCCTTTTTTTTTTTTTTTTTTTGGGAGGGTGGTTATATTGTCATAATTATTTTTAGGCCATGTATAAACTGATACTTTTTTGGTGATAAACGCATTTTTGAAAACCCTATCCAAAGTGATAAGTTGAATACACCTTTTTCGTAAACGATTAAGCAATTTTCATGTGACCAATTTATCTAAGATAATGGACAACATTGTATAGCTTTTTTTGGATGGCCCCTGTTTGGAAAGGATTGTTAAAGACTAATGTCAGTTTGTACATGCTGCAGATTTTCTTCAAAGGACACAGAATGTTTCCTCTGAGCTGTTCTTTTAACATGTCTCTGTCTATACTCTCCCTTTCATTTGTAACCTTATACTCTAGTGTTGCTCGCAGTGACCACTTCTCTACTGTCAGTCCATTTAATAAAAAAAATAAATAAAATTAGTAAAAAAACAAAAAAACAATAAAATTAGTAATTAAATCTCACCCAGACACTCCACAATGTTTAAGCATACCATAACTAAAGAATATTGCAATGATTTTTCTTTCACCATGTTTGGAGAACATCAAATGAATCACTAGTTATTAGATATCAAGTGTATTTTACTTTCGGCTACCTTGGCTAGTGTGTGATGCAAGTATCCTCGTTTAAGCATGTGCAATGTTTCAAATGGTGATGCATTGGATGTTGGTCATACAGTTTACTTGTAGGCAGTAAATCAGATTTGGGTATCAAGACCTGCAGTGTAAAGTAAAGGAGGCTTTAGGATCTCTTTGGGACCTCTTTAAATGTAGTGTAGAATTTTAGTAATGAGTTGATCAGAGTATATTGCATTGTGGCATACATTATTTCTTCTAGGCTGCATATATTCTTATAAATATAAGATGTAATTCTATCGTCCTGTCTACAGAGTGCATTTTGACCTGGGATGCTCCCTAAGATTGATTTGATATTTTTATTTATTTATTTTTGCATTATGGTGTAGCCTAAAAACTGAACTATTTAAAGAACAAGGACACCACATCTGTTTATACAGCTACACTATTAGCCTTGATGTATCCTATTAATTTGCAAGAACAACAGCATGAAGACTTTGTATTGTTTTTCTGTATTATCTAAGTGGGCTTTTCATTTCTCGTGTGCAGTTGGATCATTTAAGCAAATTCTGTTTGGACAAGAAACATTTAGAAAATGCTTAAAGGAAAGCATTTTAAAATGTAAATATGGTTTTCAGGTCCAATATATTTTACGCAGTAAGAGAATTGCAAACTGTGCGCCATGTACACTGCAGAAATAATGCTATTGTGCAATCCATTTTTCGAATGCGTTCATGTTTGTTAGTCTTGTCAATGATGTCTTTCAGTCGGGGGAGTAGGAGGTATCAAGCGGCACGCTGAGGACTCAAAGGAGGTGCCATCAGAGAAGAAGAATCTGCCTGTGGTTGCCAAAAACCACAATCTCAAAACAAATACAGAGAACCGTCCTCCTCAAAGTGAAATGCCAAAAATTATCAACCGTCCTCCATCTCTTAACATCCAGAAAAGTGCTCCAGAGAAGCACGCTCTAGCCACTCCAGCTCGGCAGACTGGCACAGACCGGCAGAAATCTCCAGGGCCTAAATGTGTGCAAGCGCCCGTCACACCACTCAGAGCGAGATCTCCACAACCACACAGAGAAGCTGAGAAGGTGTCGGTAGAGCTTTCCCTTGATTATTAAACATCGCAAAGATTGGACTTCAGAACTAGTTTAGGGAAAAAATGGTTTTAAATAAGTTTAGAAATGATTATTTCAGTCATGATGAATCCTTTTGTTTAGTTTTTTTAGCTTTTAACTTCCTTTCTGCCCTCTTTTATTCTTATATTTTTAGTATGCAGTGGAGTTTTTATTTCACTTTTTAACCAGAGAAGTTACTTCATTATATATTTTAGCTTTTTTTTTTTTTTTTGCCCCTAATTTTTTATCAATTTGAATCTTTTACAGAAGTCTGTTTTGGTGGAGACCTCAAATAAAACGGGTACATTAAACAGTGAATGTGCCGTCTGTGGAAATCATGTACATCTAGTCCAGAGACACCTGGTGGATGGAAAACTCTACCACCGGAGCTGCTATAAGTGAGTTTTCATTAGTGGTGTTTGGAAACTATTGCTATTATTACTCCCAGCTAGGGCCAGACAGAATCTAAAGACATTGTTTGCTACTTCTGCGCACAATTTTAAAAAGAAATCTGAAGATTTATATGGAATGAATTAGTGAGCATCATAATGTTTTATGTATGAAATAAAAAAAAAAAATCTTTATTTTTTTAACAGTCTTTGATTTTAGTAGCTTTTAACATGTACAATAGAAATCAAAGCCAAACAACAATAATAATAATAATGTAAAAGGTAAAACCAATAAAAATAAAGTAAAATAAAAATATACAAACTTGTATGTAAATGTGTGTACTTTTACATACAATATAAAGGTACATTTGTATAATAATAATAACAACAACTATGGTATATCAATAACAGATAATACAAGTTATACAGAGAAAAGATTTATATCAATTTTCTTCAGTAAACCTACAAAGGGATTCCAAATTTTAAGAACTTTTCGGGTTTTCTCTTGACTATACAAGTTAATTTGTCTAAAACAGGCATATCCAAACTCTGTCCTGGAGGGTCCGTGTCCTGCAAAGTTTAGTTCCAACCCCAATCAGACCCACCTGGGCTAGCTAATCAAGCTTTTACTAAGCTTTCTAGAAACATCCTTGCAGGTTTATTGAGGCAAGTTAGAGCTAAAATCTGCAGGACACCGGCCCTCCAGGACCGAGTTCGGACATCCCTGGTCTAAAGCCAAAACTATTAGAAAATTCCCACAACTGTTGTCCAAAATGTGAGCTTTCTGTATTTTTCCAAAAACGAGCTATCATAAGTTTTTCAAGTAATAAACAAAGTTGAACTTGTAAAAGTGCTTGTAATAGAAAAATAACTAATTACACAGTTTTAGACATTTGGGTATATCCTGTTTTAATACTATAGATAAAGTTTAGAATTTTCTCCCAAAAATGTTTAACCAAAGGACACTTCCATAAACAATGATATAGAGTTCTAATCTCTTTAAAATAATACCTTTTTTTTAATTTTATTTAATATTTACAATTGCATTTAGATCCATATTAATTGGTAAACAAAGCAAGTTTCTCATATAATATCTCTTCTAAAAGACAGAAAATATTACTTTACAAACGTTACTGTAATTGACAAATATGACAAACAGTGCATATGATTTAATATTACTGAAGTTAATTATAAAACTGAGTAGATATTAGGTGATCACAATCCACAGATCCGAACGCACGTGACCCACGGATTAATAACTTTTTTTGAACTTGTAGATTCATCCAACATTATAGCAATTTCAGAGAGATCGCCTCTCACGTTATTCACATCATGTGTATGAAAGCATTTTTGCTTTCCTGTAAAATAAGATTATGGAAAGTTGTGGTGGGACCTAAATGCTTTCTTAAGCTTTTAAAGGGGTGGTCCACTACGATCTCATATTTTAAACTTTAGTTGATGTGTAATGTAGCTGTGTGAACATAAACAACATCTCTGAATGTAAAAAGTTCTAAGTTCAATGCTAAGGGAGACCTTGGTTTTTACAGAGTTAGCTTAGCAAAGCCTACAATGAACGAATTTTGGGGACTACAAAAAAATACTTCCGCCCCCTGTGAGATCACAAGTTCGTTTACTGCGCATCCCACACTGCGCATGCAGGTAAGGGCCGTGGCCAGAGGTGCCGTGGAGCCGATCCGCCAATAGCAGCACATTATGATGACGACCAATCAGAGTCACTTAAGGGCGGGCCTTTTAGAGGAATTAGGAAATATATCAGTCGTTTTCATGTTAGCTGAGTAGCTGTGTATAATAGAAGTGAGATAAATAAAAAAAAAATTACGCGATTTCCTTCAAGTGAAGCATAAGCACACATTGCTTTGCATCTTATAAACGCAACCAAGCCTTAAAATTACATTCTGGACCACCCCTTTAAAGATGTTTTCTGTCTCTGTTTGGTATTCAGTGTAAAGCTGCACAATTAAGCAATCAAATATTGTAGTCAATTCAAACCCGCACAACCTGAATGATAAATGATTAGCATGTGTTTATCAGTCCTTTGAAGTGCTGCATACAAATCTGCATTTGACCGAGAGATGCAAGTTTTCAGTTCGTTACAAACATTTAAATAAAACAATAGTACTGGTAGAACAGTTTATAGTTCAGATATAAACACTAATGTTTATGGTAAAGATTAAAATCCCTGTTTAATGGAACTAGACATTGATGAATGTAGTTGTAATTACATTGTTTAACCAAAAGGTGGTGAAAAACCACTGAATACGTTTTCAAAAGTGATCCACCTATAATTAATTGTTTTGTGTGAATTGTTGAATCATTAATTTAAAAAAATTTGATAATTATTTAATATAATATATTTAGCATTATCAGCAACAGTTGCAAAGATAATTTTTCATATTGAACATTTTCCTTTTTTTTTTAAAGCTGGTTCTTGATTTTTTTATTATTATTATTATTATTATTATTATTATTATTATTATTATTATTATTTTCCTAGTTGTTTGTTAAAACCAATGGCTTTTGCAGCAATATTTTTGTAGAAATGAAAAGCAAATGACATTTGTCTCCTCCTTTGCTGATCCATGACTAAAAAAAAAACCCATAATGTGATCAGAACCGTGAGATTTGTGATCCATTACTCCACTAGTAGTTATAAATTTACAAATGAACTCAACGATGGGCTAAACTGCTGATTCTGCTGCAGCCTACTCGTAGCTACTTGTGATAAGCTTTGGCATGTAACCCATCCTACGCTATTTAGTTCAGTTATTTCCATTTTTCTTTGCTATTAAATAGATTTTGAAAATTCTGTAACCTTTTTATCATTTCTCCATCTGTCTTATTCAGGTGCAGTGTATGTTATGGCACACTGAAATCTGGAGCATATAAACTGGGATCAGACACTGGTTCACTCGTCTGCACTATTCACCAACATGGCCAAAATGGCTTCAAGCCCACTGTTAAGCCTTTTAAGAGCAGCGGCTTTACAGTTTCTGATTTGGTGGCCAAATCTGAGCGAGAAGATCAGTCGCCTTCACAGCGCTACATCTCTGTATTATCTGCACCCATCAAGGCTGTTCCTAGACCTGTGGAGCTTAGCCTGGCTCAGCAGTCATGGACGTCTTCGGCTCAGAGGACTCAAGCAGCTCGGCAGAAGTTCTTCCAGTCTTGTGCCCCAGCAACAGAGCTTCAGCCCAATACCAAACCACCATTAGGCCCAGCTGAGCCCTCCAATCTGAAGGTGCAGGAGAAAGAAGGAAACCGTGCTCTGGCGAATGGAAATCCACTACATGAAGGAAACGCCAATAACAACAATGCACTGAATTCTGACCCAAGAGCAAAAAGCCAGTGAGTGTTATTGTAGAAAATGAAGATTAAGGGTGTACTCACACTAGGCATGGTTGTCTTGAACTGTGCCCAGGCGCGATTGGTTCCCTTCTTCCCCTTGGCCTGCACTCGCACTGCAATTTTACCTTCCGAGCATGCTTGTGTTATCTGATTCGACTGTTCAGTTAGGAAAAAAAGCACACTTGCTCTGTATAATGGAATGTTTTAGTTATGTTGTGTATTATTTTAAGTCGTTTGGGATGCAATGACAAATCTTTTGCTAAACAGTTCCACCTCTTTTGACGCTCGTAAATGTTCATGAAAGTCATCGTGCTGCATGTTTAGCGGCTGATTTATACTTCTGCGTCAAGCGCCACATATGCTATGGCGCGGCCTACACATTGACACATTCCCTGCGCACCTCTCAAAAAAAATTTAACTACACGTCGCAACGACGCATAGCACAAACTCTGTGATTAGTTGGCTTGGTAGCGCTGACGAGTCTGGGTGGGACTGAGAGCCGCACGAGCCCGATGGAGTGATTTGTTTACAAGTGTGGAGTCCCATGAAGGAGCTCCGGATGGAAAGTTTTGTTTTGTGTTTACCTCATGGTTAAAATTGTTGCACATGAGGTTCCTGCCTCAAAATGAGCAAGTTTGAGCAACTTGTACATTTAAGGAAGCGTTCAGGAAAAACAAAACGCCAGCGAAAAAATTCTAAACAGAGGAACATTTACACCTCACTGCCAACTAGTGTTTCGGAAGTGTTATTGCAGAACAACAGAAACAGTGCGCAGAAGTATAAACGCACAGTTACGCTCGTTGCATGCGCTTTGGGTCCCGCCAATCACTTGACACAGAAGTATAGACCAGGCTTAAGGAGGTTTGCTGAAGGTGGCAGCTGTCGTGCAGCGAAAGGTTTGCATATTTAATCAACCATGACGGTTCACATTAATTGAAAAGTAAGAATGATTATCAAATCCATATGAAACTACTTTAAAAGTAACGTCACATCTTCTGCTTGGGCTCGCTTTGCACACTCACAAGCGTATCACACCAGAGCCCAACCAAACTGCGCTGACACAACTCCTTCGAGCCAGGGCCAGCCAATCGAACGGTTTGGATAGTCTAGTGCGAGTACACCCTAAAACACTTGGTCAACATTTTCGTTAACCCTTCTGTTGACTTGAGGGTCAAAAATGACCCAGACACCACTTTTAATAGCAGGAAAACAAAAATCTAAACATGTCCAAAATGTGGTGACTTGTTTTTCCCTAAAATGTCCCCAACATTAGAAAAAGTTAATCCTCTTATACTTTTGTACACATATTGGTACTGTATGTATAGCATTTTATTTTTTATTTTTTAATCAAAATCTGTCAGCTGTAAAACCATTTTTATACCACAAACTGACACGCATGCACTCTCCAACATGTGCGTTCACACAATAAGAATCTGCTACTTTATCTTTTATGAATATTGCCTCTAAAATGTTTTTACAGTCATGCATGTACATTTAGCATTAGAACATGACAAGTGTTGCAATGCAGACTGATAAGTGAAGGCATGTCATTTTTAAATCCAAGATCAAAATAAAGACAACACAAGGGATTACTAAATAAAATGCATAATAAAGACTGGTTAATCCATGTTGGCGAAAATTACTTTTGTAAGTAATGCATTACAATATTGAGTTACTCCCCCAAAATAGTAACTAGTTGCTTTTTTTTTTTTATTTAAGTTAATTTTGCTTTACTTTTGCCTACCTCAGCTGAGGCTTGATCTTATACTGCTTTTGCAGGGTTTTCTGTTGTCTTTTTTATTATAAAAAATATTATATTTAGCTATTTTTAACCAATATAACCTACATCTTCATTTGCCATAAAGACATCATTTGTAATTTGGGATGATGTATTCTGAGTACTTCCTGACCTCAGAGCTGTAAATGCTGTATGTACAGAATAATGAAAGTTTAAAAAGCAATGCTTTTTGCTACTTTTGTACTTTTTTGTCTTATTAGTTATGCAAAATCCATTAAGACGGTGCTCTTTCATTTTTTTCGATGTGTTGAAAACAATGAATGCATTCTGAGCATTCACCATGACTGTTAATTTTTAATTCAGAAATTTATTTTTTTAAAAGCTAATTAAAATAAAAAGTAACTCAAATATAACTTTTTAAAAAAAAAACTTTGATTACTTGCAATAAATCAAAAAAGTAAAAATAATAAAATGGTAATTAGCAGCGATTGAAAACGATTAATTCTAAAAAAATTATTTTTATTGTCTCGCAGGGTAAAAATCAGTTGCTCTTCTGCTGAAGTCTCTACTTGGAGGCAGGAGCTACATGTGCGAGATTCAAAAGGCAGGAGTTCATATCAGGCTGCTCCATCCAGCCCTGCTATTATCAGCAGCGGCGGCGGCATGAACGGCAAGGAATCGCTCTACCTCAGTGCCATCAGCAAGGAGAGCAGCAGACCTCCATCCCTGCTGCAGACTACTGCCAAAGGTGCTGTTCACTCGTAGATGACCTTTGCTTATATGAATTGTGGTCTTTTTTTAAAATGGTTTCTAAAGGTCACATGGGAAGTATTACCATAAACATACGCAATAAGTGGGAGGTGAAAATATAGGCAGGAAAGCAGTGTTAAATTAAGCTATGCTTCAACATCTATTGTTTTTTTTATTTTTTTTCTCCATGTATTCCTGATTGAAACTGATAGGACTATGGTATTTTTATCCATTTTGCTTCACGAAATGGCTTTAAATGGTGTAATTACGCTGCTTGTACTCATTTGCGGATTATGATTGGTTCAGTTGTCTTGATTTTTCTTTTCGCTTCTTGTTACTGGTGTAGACACCAAGTAATAATGAAGAATGTTCCATAAGAATGTTGTGCGCTTCATCTGACTGCATATTAATTTTTAAGACTTTTCAGAGAAATTAAAAGATGCAGTGCCGACTAAATTAGATCTGACACTAATGTTTTAAAGAAGTAGCAATATTTCTACTATTGCTTGTCACTATTGCTTTGATTCAGTTCATTTGGTATACTGATTATTACTTGGATGTCTTTAACCCAGATGACCCATTGTTTTTAAAGTATCCCAACAAGCATTTCTTGTTTAAATGATATTTAAACATGGAGAGCTCGGCTAAAATGAGGCTAAATTTGCAGTCTGTCAGTGAAAACTACAATAGTTTTCAAATACATGACGTCTGTGTTTGATGACTGGATTTGTTTTGGCCAATTCCTAGATGACTATTTGATGCTCATTGACAACCCAAATTTAGCCAGGTTTTAGCCAAGCAATGTGTTTATACACTCACCGCCCACTTTATTAGTTGCACCAGTCCAACTGCTTAACGCAAATTTCTAATTCGTCAATCACATGGCAGCAACTCTGCATTTAGACATGGTCAAGACGATCTGCTGCAGTTCAAAGTGAGCATCAGAATGGGAATGAAATGTGATTTAAGAGACTTTGAATGTGGCGTGGTTGTTGCTGCCAGACGGGCTGGTCTGAGTATTTCAGAAACTGTTGATCTACTGGGATTTTCACAACCATATCTAGAATGGTTTCATAGAATGGTCTGAAAAAGAGTAAATATCCAGTGAGTGGCAATTCCTTGGGCGCAAATACCTTGTTGATGCTAGAGGTCAGAGGAGAATAGCCAGACTGGTTTAAGCTGATGGAAAGGCAACAGTAACTTAACCACTCGTTACAACCAAGGTATGCAAAATAACATCTCTGACTCCACAACACATCAAACCTTGAGGCGGATGGGCTACAACAGCAGAAGACTATACTGGCTGCTCTCCAGTCAGCTAAGAACAGGAAACTGAGGCTACATTTCCCACAGGCTCACCAAAAATAGGACAGTAGAAGATTGGAAAAATGTTGTCTGGACTGAGTCTCGATTTCTGCTGCAACATTCGGATGCAACAGCCTACATGAGTATTATTGCTGACCATGTCCATCCCTTTAAGACCACAGTGTACCCATCTCATGGCTACTTCCAGCGGGATATTGCACCATGTCATGAAGCGTGAATCATCTCAGACTGGTTACTAGAACAAGACAATGAGTTAACTGTACTCAAATGGCCTCCACAGTCACCAGATCTCAATCCAGTAGAGCACATTTGGGAGATTTGCATCATGGATGTGCAGCCCACAAATCTGCTGCAACTGCATGATGCTATCATGTTATAATCTCTGAGGAATATTTCCAGTACCTTGTTGAACCTATGCCATGAAGGATTAAGGCAGTTCTGAAGGCAAAAGGTACTACCTGGTACTGGTAACATGTACCTAATAAAGTGGCCAGTGAGTGTATGATGTCACAACAGTTTTACAATGCAACATTGTTACCCAATTATAGGAGTAGGTGTTTATGTCATGAATGCAGCACACCTATAAAAGCTGAAGTTTTGTATCTTTCCCATATGTGCATTAAGTAGGACTGTAGACAGGAAAGTGATTAAGTTAAGCTGTGCTTCACAAGAATAAGACTGAAACTGATGGGACTATAGTATTTTTATCCTTTCTCTGTGACGGCATGGCTTCAAATGGCGTAATTTGATATTGTGCAACATGCTCTTTTTGTTTGCCATAATTTTCCCTCCTTCTCTCAGCTTCAGCCAATGATGTTCAGAGCTACGATGCCCCGGCTGACTGGAGATCAAAGCCAAAGGCAGCTCCAAATGGACCAAGACTCAAGTAAGTTCGATCAGCCTAGTTATCCCTAATGCTTTCTAATCCACACAAGGGGAAGCAGGCGAAGTCACTGGGGTGTGCGCTGCGATGACACTTCAGAGCTGCAGTACTGACAGTGGGGCCTTTCATGTATTCATCCTCTAGCCGGCGTATGCCTCCTGCCTCCCCCATAGTGTGCAGAGTGCATCCTCTCGCTCTGTCCCCAATCCTCAACAGTCCCAACGAGTGCTGCGCCTAAACCAACCCTCTCTGAAACCATATACTCTTACCTTGAGTTCTTCTGATGATCCTCCTATTTAGTTTTGTGGGCGTCTGCTGTATATAAGGTGAGGGTCTGCTTATGTTGGAGTAAATGATGATGATTTACAGTCTTAAAGGATTGGTTCACACAAATATAAAAAATGTCAATAATTGCTCACTTTTCATGTTCTTTATTATAATAATAATAATAATAATAATAATAATAATAATTAATGGCTCTTCAGTATGCTAATCTTGTCAAATTAACAATAACACTATTCTCAGATTGATGGTAGAAAATAAATCTGACAGTTTAAGTTCAGTTTAATACAATCAAACGCGCGCACACACACACAATGTTTTACCTGCTTGGTCAAACTAATGATTTAAATGAGCTGAATCAGGACAATTTTTTTTTTTTTTTTTTTTGGGTGGATAACTTGTTTTTCCAAATTTATGTAGATTGAACATAAAGTTGCTAACTTTAATTGATTTTTGTTTGGACAACAGGGATTTGTTAAACCCAGCATATTTTTTCAAAGAAAGTAAAGTTAACGTAAACTGTTTCTGTTAATATTCGAGTGAAAGGAACATTCATTCATTTTCTTGTCTGCTTAGTCCTTTTTTTAATCCGGGGTCGCCACAGCGGAATGAACCGCCAACTTATCCAGCAAATTTTTACTCAGCGGATGCCCTTCCAGCCACAACCCATGTCTGGGAAACATCCACACACACATTCACACATACATTCATACACTACAGACAATTTAGCCTACCCAATTCACCTGTACTGCATGTCTTTGGACTGTGGGGGAAACCGGAGCACCCGGAGGAAACCCACGCAAAGGCAGGGAGAACATGCAAACTCCACACAGAAACGCCAACTGAGCCGAGCTTTGAACCAGCGACCTTCTTGCTGTGAGGCGACAGCACTACCTGCATCGCCACTGCCTCGCCTGAAAGTAACATATATAATAATTTATTTTTTATATATTATATAATTTTAGAATTTTTACTGTTGTTTTACTGTGCTTTTGTGAATTCATCATTTAGGCTCTGAGATTTTATTTTTTTCTACAAAGTTGGTTATTCTGCTATGGCGTTACTCTAAGATAATTTTGCTTCACTTTCTTACCTCTTCTGATGCTTGATCTCTCTGATCTCGCAGGGTTTTCTTTTCTATTATTTTTTTATTTTTATTTTTTTAATGGAGTTCTGCAATTAACCAGTATAACCAACTAGGCATGGACGTTTTAAGATTCTGACGTTAAGATAACCTTACATAAAAATATCAGTTTCACAGGATTGTGATGTACTGCCCTAAAATTTCTTTTTAAATGTCTGGGTAAGAAACTAAAACTTTTTTTTGTTGTTGTTTTTCCCTTTGAACACAATATATTTTATTTTCAAAAAGGTTTTGGAATAGTAAACATACCAGCAGGCACAGGACATCAACATGATGACACTCATCTATCAGGCATTGGATTTAGGTTGCCATACCTGATGAAAAAATATCCGTATTTGATGTCATGACGTTAGTTTAAGAAGTAAGTTTTGGTCAGCTAAAATCAACCAAATGTCAATATTTGATGCTATGAACGTCAAATTAACGATGTTCTTAGACATCTAATAGACATCAATCTAACCTAATATTAACATCTTATGATGTGTGCCTGCTGGGATGTCAGGCGAATTAATTCAAATAAATTATTGAATGAAGCATTCTGCTGTCTTGATTAGTTTAAAAAACACAGATTTCTGTACAGTTTCAAAAGGATCTTTGGAGATCTTTTCTGCCGGCGATAATGTTGTCAAAAAAAAGAAAAAAACTAATTAAACGTACCTTAGAAACAGCAGTTTTGGTGGTTTAAAAACCTTGACTATTCCAAATCGGTTTATCCCATGTCTGTAATTTAAACCATTTACTTTGTGTGGGGAAAAAACAAGATTTATTCTGAGAATTTTCTGACCCCAAAGCTGTAAAGTTTTATTTGTTCTTATTAATCATTTTTAGAACTAGTTATTTCTCAAACTAGTTCAAATAGTTCAAATAATACTATATTATGACTATTATGACTACTAATGATATCTGCATTGTCTTAAATTATTCATAATGGACTTAAAAAGGCAATGAAGTTTTAATTTGATCTTGTGAAACTTGCAAAATCCCTGAAACCTTCACACCAATGCACTGTAATGATTTGTTTGTTATATGCATGTCACATAAGCCACTTTTTTAAATGAATCAGCTCCTAAAACTTGTGAATTATGATTGGCTATTAATAGTTTTAAATGTTAATGCAAAAATATAGAACTTGTTTCATTGCAGATGATATGATTTTGTTAAATTGTCTTATTGTAGTTGTCATTCTTTGTGTGAAAGGGCACTATCATAATTATTTTGCTTTTAGTAGATCTCCTGATATTGCCAAAGATGTTCCATTGACGTGTGGAGAAAACAAAGATTTAAAAGTGCAGGATTCTCAAGCCTTCATGTTGAACCACTCCAAGGGTAAGGCATTTCAACACCTCTGCTGCTCTAGTACCAAATGTTTTTGCAACTTTACATGCTTTTCTCCTTTCCAGTTAAAACTGGAGCTTGTACAGCACCAGCTCTATCTGTCTATTCAGCCATTTAGACTACATCAGCTGCAGCATGGTAAGTTTGACTATCATAATAAATATACTTTTTTTTTTTCTTCTTCTTTCTTTTCACAGGTTGTAATAATGATTGTTCTTTGGCCTCATGCGTATCACCCTCTACGTCCTGTCACAAACTTTCATCTCCAAAACAGCCTCGCTGCGGGTCAGCGACATCAAGTAAGCATGTTCAAATGGTTATTAAAAATATATATTTTATTTTATGTATAAAAAAATTTAATAATATAAATAAATGTTTTTTTTTGTGTGTGTGTGTATTTATATCGCTTGAACTAATAATAAATGCCTTATTAATACAGTTGAAATCAGAATTATTAGCCCCTGTTTTTTTTTTTTTTTTTTTTTTTTTCTCCCAAATGATGTTTAACAGGGCAAGGAAATTTTCACAGTATGTCTGATAATATTTTTTTCTTCTGGATAAAGTCTTATTAGTTTTGTTTTGGCTAGAATAAAAGCAGTTTTTAATAATAATTTAAAAAAAAACTATTTTAAGGTCAAAATGATTAGCACCTTTAGGCTATTCGATAGTTTTCGATAATCTACAGAACAAACCATCATTATACAATAACTTGCCTAGTTAACCTAATTAACCTAGTTAAGCCTTTAAATGTCACTATAGGCTGTATAGAAGTGTCTTGAAAAATGTCTAATCAAATATTATTTACTGTCATCATGGCAAAGATAAATTAAATCAGTTATTAGAAATGAGAAGCTTATGTTTAGAAATGTGTTCAACTTCTCTCCGTTAAACAGAAATTGGGGAAAAATAAACGGGCTAATAATTCAGGGGGGCTAATAATTCTAACTTCAACTGTATATTTCACTAGAAATAGATTTCGATCAGTTATTTTATATTTCTTAGTATTGAAAATGTTTGTAAATCGTAATGTTGTTAATTTAACCCAAATAAATCTTATATTGTATAAATGGTAACTTAATTGCATCTTGGATTGTTGCTAGTTTTCTAAAAGTTTTATTTATTTATTTTTTTTAAAGAGTTTGTCAGTCCAAATTTTAATTTGAATTATTTGTAAACAATTTAAATCCATTCGTTCGTTTTTTCATTTTCTTTTCGACTTAGTCCCATTATTAATCAGGTGTTGCTACAGCGGAATTAACTTATCCAGCATATGTTTTACGCAGCGCATGCCCTTCCAGCTGCAATCCATCACTGGAAAACACCCATACACTCAAACACTACGGACAATTTAGCTTACCTAATTCACCCATCCATTTGAATATAGTCTAGCAGTTTATTTTATGTCTGTTGATGATTCTTTGATGTACACTAATAAAATGTGTGCTTTAATTTTAGGTTACGACAATGGAAATATATTATGTAATAACATTTTGCTCCATGAAGCAAGGTCACCTACTGTAAGTTTTGCAAATCTCGACTCAAATTCATTCATTTTGTAGTCATTTCATAAACCGCATTCATCTTTTTTTATTTTAATATTATGTGTATTTCCAGACAAACACTTGCTATATCACGCCAGAGCAGATCTCAAAAGAACTGCAAGACATTGAAAACAACCTCAACGATTTGGAGAATGAAGGAGTGGAGCTGGAATGGAAACTTCGTGTTTATGAAGAAGGTTTGAGATCAGATATATTAGATGTTATAGTAGTACAGCTGCTCACTTAAAATATTACAGTCTCAAACACTCCTGAAATCTCTAGTCTAAAGGATCGCGATCCTTTAGAATTATTAAAGCTTTGATAGTGGTACATTTTAGATCTTTCATTTATGGTTAAAACCGCTTTAGTCATTTCAAATAATATTGTTTTGTTTACAAACATTCAAAATAGGGCTGGGCAGATACGGTATTATAGCCAATCACAATAATTTGACAAGGACTTTTTTTCTTTCTATATTGATTTAAGAGCCTATCGCACAACAAAACGTGCAAGAATGGGAATCTAGAAGTGTGTTTCTCAGAAATGCACCAAATTTTTGGCCAGCAAAAAATGATCGGCCACCAAAAATAGGTTATGCTATTTAAAGGACCCTCTAATTTGTTTCTAGTCATTAACATTTGTCATAAATGAAATTTATTTAAATATATATATATATATATATATATATATATATATATATATATATAAATCAATCTTAGGCCTTAAAGTCTTGAATTGACTTAAATGTTGTTTAATAGGTCTTAAAGGAAAATTGTGACCCATTTAAAATTATTTATGTAAAGCTATCCAATCACCAACTGTACATCTCAAAACTGTTCACAACTAATATTATAACAGGCTGTTGTGCATACATTTTAGCTTTTAAAGAGTTTAAGTCATGTTGAAAAATGTGTATACAACTAAGGTCTGCTTGTTTTGATGCATTATATCAAATGTGTGCCTAAGAAATAACTAATTTGTTTTTTGTTGTTTTCTGCTGGGCCATTATAAATACTTCGTTTTAGCCCTTTAAGACAACGACGAATGAAATTTCAGACTTATAGAGTCTTAAATTTGACTTGGAGAAACCTGCTGAAACCCTGTATACTCTTTAATCTTGAAGAATCAACAACTGCTATCGAAGTTATATATCGTTATTGTTTAATAATCAAAAAGAAAAAAATCGAGATTGCAATTTTGCCATATTGGCCAGCCCTAATTTAAAATATCAGAAGTACTGAGATAATCATTTACAGTACATCCAGAAAGTGTTGAGAGCACTTGAATTTTTCCACATTTTTTTTTTTAATGTTACAGCCTTATTTCAAAATTAATTAAAATTAATTTATTTCCTCATTTCTACACACAATACCCCATAATGACAATGTTTAAAGATTTTTTTTAATTGTTGCAAATTTTATTTAAAAAAAAATATTATTAAAACCCAAATATCACAAGTATTCACGATCTTTGTACTTGAGCTCAATTTAGAGCTTCACTGCTCAGCAGTGAAGTGTTTTTAGCAGCTTGATTGGAGTTCACCTGTGGTAAATTCATTTGATTGGACATGATTTGAAAAGGCAGGCACCTGTCTGAGATCTTAGGGTTGACAGTGCATGCCAAAGCACAAACCAAGTATAAAGATAAAGGAATTGTCTCTAGACCTCAGAGGTCTTGTCTCGAGGCACAAGGCTGGGGAAGGTTACAGAAACATTTCTGCTGCTCTCAAAGTTTCAATAAGCACAGTGGCCTCCATCCGTAAGTGGAAGATGTTTGAAACCACCAGGACTCTTCCTAGAGCTGGCCGGACATTTAAGCTGAGTGATTGGGGGAGAATAGACCCAATGGTCACTCTGTCTGAGCTCCAGCATTCTTCTGTGGAGAGTGGGAAGGACAACCGTCTAAGCAGCAATCCACCAATCAGGCCTGTATGGTTGAGTGGCCACACGGAAGCTCTGTAGAAACCTGTAGCAGTAGACTTCCATAGTGTTGGTTTTTCCTACTATGAAAGTCGACGGTTACAGGTTTTCTACTTTGTTCAGTATATCTTCTTTTTTTTTTGTTCAACAGAATAAAGAAACAAAGTTTGTGTTCACCTGTGGGTAAGAAATTGATAAGTTTAGACTGCACTATCCCTTCAAGAATCATGATTCTGTTTATCCAGAATGTAGGTCCGTGTAGTTTGAAAGTGAGATTTGAAGGTTGTGAACTCTTTCAAGGTTGTATGCGACTAAATGGACATCATCAGATTCTCTTTTTGATGCAATGTAACACCATGCGGTGTGTTTTAGATGCCATATAACAGCCATGTGTATATTTATGCATGTGTGTGCTCCGAGTCGTGCGAGTTGCGCACTCATTCCAAACCTGTTAGCTGTGCCTGTCCACCTGGGAGTCAGTGTTTCTATGTAGCCTTTAGGGGAAGGCAGTGGCCAATAAAGGCCTCTCTATTCTAGCAGCCAGGGCCAAATGAGGCGAGGCGCAGGGGAAGCTCCCTCTCCTCCTGTGGGATGATGGGATGGAAATGGAGGAGGTGGTGGGCGGCAATGAGAGGCTGCTAGCTGAATGGGGCAAGGGCATCTGATTGGCTCTTTTCAAGGTCACCGTGGCACAGTAATATCATCTCCAGGCTCGCTGCTCCAGTCACCTGTCCTGCTGTGAGCAACCGGAGGGATTTCAAAGAAACCGTCACTCCCACCAAAAGCCAAAACCTCCGCTTGATCAAATTAAGTTTGTGCGCATTCATGATTGTACTTGTATTTTTTTTTTTGTACCACCTCAAGGCAATGTCAGTGGAAAACATGCTTTTAGACCGCATTACAACACTCTATTAGGGGACAAATAGAATTCAATCATAGCTCAAATAGAAGTTGGGAGTGAGTATTTGGAGATGCCTGTCTCTTGAGCACTTTAAATTGTTGCTCGAGGTGGTGTGTATATGTGTGTGTGAATGATGCAGTTTGGACCTTACTGACTTTGGACTGTTTTACAGAGGGTCATGGGGACATTCTGATGGACCCCTTAATGGTTGATTGGTTTAACCTGATTCGGAAGAAACAAAGCTACATACGGAGAGAGTCGGAGTTGATGTACATGTAAGTGATCCATTTTAATGTGCTTTATTTCTGAATGACAATGTTTTTGTGGTTTAATTGTAGATTAATAAGATAATAGAGAAGTCAGCCAAGTTGTTCAGTATCTAGGGTCTGCTTGCTGTTGTTTTGAAAGATTTCTGTTTTTTAGAGCAAGAACACAAGATCTGGAGGAGCAACAGCCGGGAGTGGAGGGGGAACTCAGGAGATTGATCAACAAACCAGGTAAAGAGCACTCCATTGATATCTAGATTTACTGCAAACCCCCTTTCAGATAACATCAAGTACAGGGGTGATAGCGTTCCGGCACCACGCCGGATTTCCGGCGTACTGTGGCAACGGGGAAAAAAAATCAGGTTCACGGATATTGATCTGTCATGTCTCTAGATTCACAGAATTCACTCACTGCTGAAAGCGCCGGATTGGTTTTTATTATAGATTTAGGGTGGTCGGTGGGGACGTGTGCCCACCAATATCCACAAACTACTGAAATGTCCCCACCAATAATTTAATTCACTTAAAAACATCGCGCTGTCAGTATAAACCTAGACATGCCGAAAGGGTTAAATCTCGTTCTCTCCTCGAGTCGCACCGCCTCCAAACACATATAAACATTGTGATTGGCTCTGCCTTTCCCTGCTGTCATGTGAGTGGCTGCTTTCAGATCATAGTTTCAGATACAAATAGCGCCAAAACAACTTCGCGCCGTGCGCGGGGGGAATTTCCCGATGTGTAAGGTGTGTCCCTCCCACAAGTGAGGATGGAGGTAGCAAGAAGAGGTGGACATAAAGAGCTTCTTCCAACGAAAAGTGTAAGTCACATAAACTCAAGTTCGCTACTGAATGAGTCCATCATTATAATGCCGTTATGCTAGTGTTTTCACCGCTTTTACGTTCAGTCTAACGTTAAAGCAGACTAGTCTGTAAACAATATTCCCTGAAAACTAACTGCAGAATAAACACCTACATGTAAACGTATATGACCCTGCCAGTTCTCCTAATCTCTTAGAGCAACATCTCCAATTTTGGTTGAAACAATTTGTCAGAAAAACTATGTGCTCCATCTTTTAATAATACTGTGAGACATGTTTAATTTGTACGAAAAATGAACGAAAGTCTTTTTTAAACTCTCTCTTTACCCGTTAATAAACATTATTTTAACATAACACTTTCAGGCCTGTTGCCAGCTTATTGAAAGGGATTATTTGTTTTCTGAAAAACTGAACCTTTTTGCAGTTATTCACCTGATTTTCTGTTTAATTGAGGTATAAATAATACATTTTAGTGACATATTAAGAACTAATTTTTGCTGAATAATCTTGTTGGATAGTTATTACAACTACACTTTTTAATGTACCAAAACAATTTCCACCCATTTTGTCCAATTGCTTTATTTACACATTTAAACTGTAAGTTTTATTACAGTTTTATAAATAATAAAAATACTTTAAAGCTAGAAATTAGGACTTTTAATTCTTAGAACAAAGAAATGAAGTACAGTACAGGTGCCAAAACCTCTAAATCCCTTGTAAAATGAGCATTTTTTTCTCAGCCTTGTATATTTATGTTCAGTTATTTCACTTTAAAGGCAATGAAAAGAACATATTTGTTACTATTAAAGTAAAGTCCACACACAGGAGTTGGAGAAAAATGCTCATTTTAGAAGAAAATATTAAATGGCATTTAGAGGTTTTTGCATCTAAACTCTTCAAATATGTAAATATACTTATTTTTAAAATACAATTTTTATGTCGTTAGATAAAGACAACAAGATGAATGAAATATCCCGTTTAATAAATATAGTGAGATTAGATCCAGCGAGAGATGCTTGATGAGAAGTCCAACTAGCAGAGCTCTCATCTGGGTAGATTGGCTGCAGCGCTTGCCTGAGAGTGTGTGTGTGGTCACGTGATGTGCGTTTTCAGCGTTTTGGTGTGGACGGAGAGCAGTTCAGAAACGCTGGATAAAATGCGACGCACGCATGTGTGGACGCGGATTGTTTTCATTCTAAAACGCCGTTTTAAAACTAAAACGCACTAGTGTAAACATGGACGAGGCCTCAGAGTGTCGCGCTGCATGTCACTGCAGTGACATCGACACCCGGCGAAGCTCATGACATAAATTAACACGAGCAAAACCATATTTAATCATTACGTGACTTTTAACCTAATTTATCGCGTCGCAAGTTAGTTTATTTGCTGAGCTACTCCACAATATTTTAATTTAAACGCATTTATTTTATGTATTCGTAGTCATACTTCCGTACGTAATATAGTCATTTGACAGTACATGTCAGTCAAATTTATTGTGGCATGCTTATGTATGGGAGGGGTTACACTTATCTGTTGTATCGCTGGCCAAAAGTCTTGTACAGAGCTTCAGTCACTGTGGTGGAGGCAGTAATGTCAATGACACATCATGCCAGTGTCAGTGACACATGCCAGTAATGTCAGTGACACATGCCAGTGTCAGTGATCTTGTGACATGTGCCAGTAGGTGTCAGTACAAGCACGTTATAAGCACATTAATCTTATAAGTCTCTTTGCTTTATTATTTAAAAATCATTAGGCAAATGACACCTGTTATCTTACATGCATATATGTTATGAGTTTTCAACATGCATTTTATTATAACTTTTTAAAGCATATTATTTAAAATACCTTAAAATGAAAATAAGTTAAATAATAAAATAAATGAATGAATTAAAAACATAGAGAAGTCCATATTGTAGGGAACAAAGGAACTGCCAGGATGCAATAATATACAGTACAACAGATAAGTGTAACCCCTCCCATACATAAGCATGCCACAATAAATTTGGCTGACATGTACTGTCAAATGACTATATTACGTACGGAAGTATGACTACGAATACATAAAATAAATGCGTTTAAATTAAAACATCAGCAAGGAAAAAAAGTTCAGGCTCAGGAATTTTTTCCACTATCAGCCCTGCAAGTGTAGTTTTTAACAGTAATCTGTAATAGTCAAAATAAGTGTTTTGTTTTTATTTTTATGAACCTTCTAGTGATCAATCAGCAAAACAAGTTAAAAGGTATAAAAAAAAATTAATTATATACTGAAACATCTGAAAACATTTAAACGTACTGAAACATCTCTTTATATTTACCACAGAGTAAAGGGACCAGAAAATATCAATCTGTTTTGTACTTTTAAATGAGTAATAAATAAACGTGCGTTATGGATGTGACAGAAGTCTGCAAGTTTGCAGTATACAACATACTTTGTAGTAATTCTGTGAACTAAACTGCACAACCCAAATAGTGAAATAGTGCTAATTAAAAGGATAAGAGTTGGCTCTCTATAGGACAACCATGATTTTATTTGATTTATTATTTTTAGCATTTATGAGGAAAAAGCGTCGTCATGGATGTGACCTCTTTCCTTTATGGATGTGACAGATGTGAAATTGCCACTTGTGTGACTTTGGTAAATCAAATATAATACTTTGAAAACATTGACAGATACGTTTTTGAGTATTTCTAAAGTACTGTAAAATACTTGCTTGCACAAACTTGGGTTTTTACCAAAATACGGAAACTTTTTTTTTTCTATTTTTTTTTTAGTTTCTTTTTTTTTCTATGGCAAGGTTAATATTTCATCACCTTAGAATTATAAGGTTCTATCTGTCATTTTTTCAAATTGTGTTATTGACATTCTTATTAAATGACAACTTATTTATATTATGGGATGTTTTTTTTTTCTTTTTAGAAGTGGTTTACATTTTTAAGACTTTATTAAAAAAAAACTAATGTTACACACATACTGTTTGCTATGAAATGCAAAAACTTTGAAGCTCAATATCTCAGAACACAGATAGAACCTTTTATATCCAAGGTGACTATTTGCATGGAATTGTATGCATGTTTTTATTTCCTTTAGTTAGTTCCTGTTTTAGTTGGAGATTTTTAATTTTGATAATCCAGCCAGGGCATTTCCGGTAAAATATCATGTCATTCTATACTTACTGCAAACATCTTTTTATCTAGTTTTAAGATTAAAAAACCTACTGAATCATTGGGTCTATTTATGACTATATTGATTATTGATTATATTATATTAGGGGTGTCAACTCGGTCCTGAAGGGCTGTTGTCCTGCAACTTGCCTCAATACACCTGCAGGGATTTTTCTAGAAAGCTTAGTAAGAGCTTGATTAGCTAGCCAAGGTGTGTCTGATTGGGGTTGGAACTAAACTTTGCAGGACACTGACCCTCCAGGACCGAGTTTGGACACCCCTGTATTACATTATTGATGTTGTCAAAGAAACCTCATGAAATTGAAGAAAGCCAAACCAGCTACTTATTGGTTTGTGAAAGGTGTCAGCAATTTTATTTATTTTATTATTATTATTATTATCATATTTTTATTGAAACAATGCTCCAGTAATTGTTTGCAATGTTGAAATGTAAATATTCAAATGAATGACAACCAAAATGGAAAGACATAATTTCCTAGTCTCATTAAGTACAAAGGCATTCCATGTATACATCAACACACTATTAAATATATTTGATCATTGCTGTTAATTAAATGTTCGAAACACTTAATTCAAAAACATAAGTGTGTGTGTGTGCGCGTGCTACTGTAGTGTTTTTTTAGCTACATTAATGTTAATAAATGTCAAGAGCTTTTTTTTATTTTGCTTTCTCTTTACTTATTGGTTGCTTTTAAGTTTGCTTTTAGAAATTAGCACTAAATACAAATTTAAGCGTCTTCATTGATCTCGTCTGACACATGGAGGCAATTCTTGGATATGCTTCAAATTAAAATGGTGATGATTTTAATTAAGCATTTACAAAAGTGCAAAAGTGGTATTACAATGTCAACCCCAGTTAAATGCAATGACTGTTTTATATGGCTTGGTTCATTTTTTAAATTTCTTTAATTTGAAGAACTGTCATTTAAGCTGTGGGTTTGTGTGCTTATTAGAACATCTCAAAACTCTGAATGAGAAGAAGAGGGAAACTGAGCTGTTGAACAGACTGATGAAGATTGTGAATGACAGAAACGCTATTGTTGAGGGTCTGGAGGAAGACAGGATAAGGCAAGTCCTCAAGAAACCACAGTTGCTGACTCTGCATGTCAAATGCCAAACTTTTTTAGAGCAAGAACAATATCAAAATATGCAAAAACACTTTTGTAATTGTACTACATCACATTTCAAGGGAGGAGGAGGAAGATCAACAGTTGAATGAAATGATGCAAAGACTGGGTGAGAATTTTCTCTTATTCTTATTTTAAATCAGAAGCAGCCCAAGACCATCATGTGAGCATTATTTATGTCACCATGCAGGTCTTCAGAAGTTTAAAAACAAACGCAAGTCATCCTTCTCAAAGTTATTTCGACGACGAAGTAAAAAAGCCTCGATGGGAGAGTGAAGCTCACAGCTACTAGACTGAAGTGCTCCATATGTTCGGCTGCAGTTTGTTGAAACTTCATCTTTTTAGATGTTTTAAAAAAACAAGGTGGGTCTACAAAATGTCAGGTGGTTTAGTGAGGTAAGAGTTCTTGAAGTAAAATGTTGTTTATTATTAACTTTTTATTATTTCAGTCATGTTCAGAAAGTTTTTCACTTTGATTTACCTAATGCTTGTTCTATTCATTTAAGATGTTTAATTTTGCTCCTATACTTTCAATGCGTGGGCTCCTTTTGAATAATTATTGTTCAGAATATACATTTACTTAACTTCTTTATTTTTATTTCCACCCCCTCACTTGTTCGGAGATAAACCGTACCGTTGTATTAGCAGATAAACAAACAGATGTCCAAGGCTGGCTGAAGCACGCTCTTTGACTGCCATCCAAAAATCTGCGGAGCATCTTAATTTAACCCTAACCTCCAATAAGCGTTGAGCTCAAAGATTGAAAGCGTTCATTGTGCAGTGCTAACAGTGACCTGAAGGGGGCACTATGAGCTTGCATGCATGTGCATCAGAATATCCAGACTCTTATATCCTGTGAACGCTAAATCAAGCTGGAGATTAGACTGCAGAAGATCTTGTGTGTGTGTGTGCGCGCGCGCTGGAGAGGCACGGATTATTGGTTTTATTCTCTTTTTAAGTCTCTAACCTAGTTCAATTAAAAGTGTACCTCATTTAACTTATCCAAGTAGTAGATGTGCAAAGAGGCCTTTTTTAATGTTTTAAATAAAAGGTATGACTGAACTGTTTGAAAAAGCTACTGCAGGAATGTTTTAAAGATGTTTTAAAAAGTTCTCTGAAGAGATGCTGATGATGTGCTTATTTATTGTGTATTTGACTTTAATAACATGGGTTATTCAATAAATCTTAAGGAAGTTTCTAATTGTATTATAACCAAGGTGAATGCAGAGTTGTTGTTGTTGTTGTGTTTTTTTTTTAAATGAGCGGGAATAGAAAAAGCAAAGTTTTTATGTACAATACCGGGCTTTTTAATTGTTTTATAAGTTTGTCTTGCTCACCAAAACTGCATTTATTTCATCAAGAATACAGTAAAAATTGTGAAGTGTAATTGCACTGTAAAATAACTGTTCAAAAGTAGTTTATAAATTTAATCATTTATTTCAGGGAATTTTTAAATTAAATTGATTTTTTTAAATTTATTAACATTTTTTGTCACTAAAACTAAAATGTCAAAATATTTGAAATAACAAAGACAGATTGCTCCAGCTGAGCCCCCCGCCCTACTGCATCATTTCTATACAATATTATGCACATTTTTAATCCGTTTTACATCATAATATATACATACATGCATACATGCAATACAAGTAGATAAAAGTTCCCTTATGTTCACTCATCTTTTGTACATGTATACGCACACAATGAGTCACAATAGACTTAGCAAATATAAAATAAAGGACTAAAATCATTTAGATAGAAGTTAAAATAAAATAAAATGGAGGGAGGGAAGGGAAAAAATGTGAGAAACAAATAAACCAGTTAAACTGCAAATATTAAGTTTGTATCCATTTGCTCTATACATGTCATCACTGGCTGCCAAATAAGATTTTTGACTGCAACCTTTGGTGGAACACCGAATCTTCTCTATTGTAAGATGGTACAGAAGATCTCAAAGTTGAAGAAAATTTGTCTTTCCATTTGAGCAGTACAAGACTTCTAGCAACTAATTGTGAAAAAAAATTCCTACTTTTGGTATTATTGGTCTAAACTGGGATTAAATCAAATTATTCCAGTGAATTATTTATTTTATTTTATTTTTTAATGAGCTTCATTACTCCAGTCTTCATAGTCACATTATCCATCAGAAATCACTCTAATATTTATTAATATTAATAATAACAATAAAATTATTATTATTATTATTATTATTATTATTATTATTATTATTATTATTATTATCATTATTGGTAATAGTAATAAAAGCAATAATAACTGGAGTAATAATTGCATTTGAAACTACATCTAATTAAGCAGTTAGTTAATTTTAATAAATATTTAACAATCATACTTTTTTATTGTTATTTAATAAATGTTGCCTTGATGAACAGAATAATGTTATTTAAAAAAAAAAAAACTGACCCCAAACTTTTGACCAGTTGTGTATTTTCATGCTGTCTTTGAATGCGAGGTGTCTGCATTTGGACTGAGGAGATATATTGATTGGAAATGCCTATCCATTTACAATGGTTCCAGTTACCAAAAAGCCTAGCTTAGTCGAAACTTCCAGGTATTTCAATTAATTTTGGGCACAGCAGGGTCATTGGACTAGCAGAGATCTACAGTAGCTAAAATAAATCTAAAGAAAATTTAAAAGTCTTAAGTTTGATTTTTAATGTAAAAGTTTAACGGAAATGTTATTTAATATGCTCGAGTTAACAAACTAGAGATACATATAAGCAGTAGTGTTTATTTATTTACCATTTTTTTTAAAGCAACTTTTTATTACTTAGCATGTTTTTATTTATCAAATGCACGTTTTTACACATCCTTAAATTGTTGGTGTTTGCAAATTCTTGGTTATTAGTCATTACTAAAATCCTACAAATTAATTTTGTTGAAGTACTATTAACAAGTTAAACTCGTACTTCAGAATGTGTTTTAAACTATTTATTTACTCAGACATAATAAATCCTCTAATTTTGCATGTCAATTTAATCAACTGTGTTTGTAATAAAGATCAAGACAAAGTTGGAATGGGAAGTGCCAATATAATATAAAATGATAAACAAATGTTTTTACAGTGCTCCGCATAGAGTACAGCCCACTTTGAGGAAACATTGAGAAATTGAAAGCTAACACAATTAAATTCAAGCAAAATTGCAAAAATTACAAACTACAAAATTTCAACTCCATTTTATTTTTTATTTTTTTTTTTCTCTTTTTAAATTTCTATTTATCTAACATATACATTTGGGAGTACTAGTTTTTGGATTATTTTCATAAGTTAGTTCGTTAAATAAGCTCAAGATTTGTCTTCAGTATTTAAGTATATGCACATATAATATTGTATAGCTTCCTACTAAAAATATGAATTTAAAAGAGAGATTCGTGAGGGGTGTACTTCTATATGCTGAGCACTGTATAGTCTTAAACTATTTCTTTTGAATCCCTCAGTGACGCTCCTTTTAATTTGGTCCATCAGGGGAGGGTCTTTAATAAAAGTGAATCTCAATTATATGGACACTGACCCTTCCATGCATACAGCCAAAGTACACAAAATGACTTCAAAAACAAAACAAACAAACAAACAAAAAAAAAGCAGTTTGTATGTATTGTTTTATGTAGATCAGACATACCCAACCTAGGGCCTGTGGGCAAAAGTTTGCCCATGGTAACCTTTGATTTGGCCCACCATCCCATCTGAGATGAGAGGGAGAATTATGGGGATGTTTTAGGAATTGTCATTTAAAATATAATGTAACCTTTTAATTGTTTTATTGATAAGCTACAAAAAAGCTAACTGAAATTAAGTGCAGTAGTTTAGTTATGGTACTATCAACCGATGGGTAGAGAAAAATGCAGAGACTTTGGTGAGCAAATTGAGGCAAAAGCAGATTCCGTTTGAGTAGTGTATATTCAGCATTAAACTTATAAATGTGATTGTTTTTATTGCAATAAGTTATATTTAAAGTTATTCTGCATTAGCCAATATGATTCACAGTGATGTTTTCTATTAACTTTTAAATGTTATGAAATAAACTAGGAAATTACCCATGGCAGCTTGTAAAATAGTTTGGTATATTTATCTTCGGCCCACAGCTCTCAATGATATTTAAATTTTGGCCCTTCATACAGAAAAGTTTGGGCAACCCTGATGTAGATGAAGGGGCAATAAACTTGTAGGCTACATGCAGGGGTGGATTTAACCATTAAGCAAGGTAAGTGGCCTCTTGGGGCTCAGGGGAAATCTGGGAGCCCCCAATAAACATCTAGAAGTATAAATTATATGCTACCTATAAAAATAACATTCTACCATATTTTGTATTGTGGAAGTTAAATACAATTTTAACAATTAAATATTTAATATGCAATTAAATATTATTATAAAAATGTCATATGTAATAATAATATTACAAAATAAAATATGCGTGATGGAGCAGACCTGCAGTCAAATTTATCAAAAATATAGTTGTAAATTAATTTTAAGAAAACACATTTAAAATGTAGGGATTTCATTAATTTAAAATGTTGAAAAGAAGAAAAAAAAGCTATATAAAATAATTGTTAAATGAAAGTAGAGCGGGTGCATTTCAGGGCTTGGGCCTTATGGCTGGAATTGCTTAGTGCCCCAAAATCACTAAATCCGCCCCTGGCTATATGAAAAAGTCTGTCAGTGCAGGGCAGTACCTAAACAAAATTGCATACGCCTTGTTTTCACAAACTTGTGTGCATGCTGCTTGCATATTAGGCTACTTTACCAGAATGTGTGCTATAACAGTGCAATCAGATTGTAAGCATTAATATGAAGAAATAAATGACGTCAAAACTTATCCGGGTCTCAAAAGCCACCCTTAGGCCTGAGAGGGTTAAAAATGACACCCTGCTCGCCGCGGTGGAGCCCGTAATTGTTGTTCCTATCATTGCGTGCTGTAAAATGGCCGTTTATACAGCCATCATTTAATATGCGTTTTAGTGAAATGCATTAAGATAATTTACTCACATTTAATATCGTGGCACTGCTTACAGGCCATCCATCCCCAATTTAAGATGCATGAAATTGTGATCATGAACTTGGAACAGCATCTCTCTCTTCGCCGAGGAGGAGGAGGATATTGGTGCAGAGCGCCACGCGTGATGCGGGTGACAGTCGAGACTGAATACGTGTGATATTAGAGTTAATTAAAGCTTTGCGCCCCATCTCCTGCAAATGCTCGCACTCCTGCAATTAAGAATCAAAGGCGAGGGCTTAGTGTCAGGGGGTGTCTAATACATGGTTTTAACAGGAATGGGACCTGATTTGCCAAGCTCCTAGCGACAAGCATTAACAACAGCCTCAAATTAGGCGGACATTAATATTCATAAGTAAAACAATTCGTCCTGTGAATGGCTGATGAAATGAAATTCTCTCGCGTCCACGCCAGCCGTGTCCATCAAAAGATGCCATTACTGATCAAGTGCTTAATGTATATGAGCCGCCTGACGAAATGGAAAGGATCCCAGGGTTCGACGGGTGTTTGTCACCAGGATGGTGTTTGAAATTCGGTGTGCCAGCTCAGATGTACCCTCGCTAACCTCACGCATGCGTGTGCGCGTCTCACTTTCGGTACATAACTGAAAGACATTTACATATTTGCTTGATCAAGGCCAGCTAAGCGTGGGTCACTAACACAAAATGGATTTGGAAATGGAGTGTACTTAAGCCTTTTTTTGGGGTGTTTTTTTTTTTTTGGTGGAAAGTGTGCTAATGCGATCACATGGGCTGCTTTCAGCAAAATGCAACTTGCTTTAATTGTTTAATTAAAAGCATACATTACACACTTATCTAACGCAGAGTTTATAATAAAGGTCAAACTCTGCTTGTCCAGCGGTGGCCACTGCGCTGAGCTGTTTGTTCTTTTACTGTAGGTGTGTGTGCATGCGCTTGGGTTGTAGATATGGTGCTTCTGCCACTAGCCTGTAATTATGATCCTCAAGGTAATTTTATCAGCCTCATTAGCTCTGATGAGTAAACGAGAAGCGTGCTTCTAATTTATTAGCCATCCAGACTGGAGCCCTGGCTCTCATCAGGCGGATCATAATATTTGTATAGGGGAGCTGATGTGTTCAGTGTATCATCCGGCTACAGGAACGATTCAGAATTGGTAATTGCGCTCCAAATGCTGGATTTTCTTGGATGGTTTAGTTTGATCTAGATCAGCGCTGCTCACCCTTTTTGACTCCTAAAAGG